CACAATGCCATGAAACTAGAAATCAACCACAGGAAAACAAAAGGAGAAAAAAACGACAGCATGGAGATTAAACAATGTGCTACTAAAAAAACCAATAGGTCAATGACAAAATCAAAGAAGAAAGTAAAAAATACTTTGAGACAAATGACAATGAAAACACAACCACACAAAATCTATGGGATGCAGCAAAATCTAAGAGGGAAGTTCACAGTGATACAGGCCTTCTTCAAAAAAAGAATAATCCCCATAAACAACCTAACCTATCACCTAAAAGAATTAGAAAAAGAAGAGCAAACAAAACCTAAAGTCAGCAGAATGAAGAAAATCATAAAGACCAGGGAGGTAATAAGTAAAGTAAGAGATTTTGAAAAACAAGAAAAAAAATCAATCAATCAAAACAAGAGCTGTTTTTTGGTAAGACTAAACAAAACTGACAAACATCTGGCTTGGCTCACCAAGAAGAAAAAAAAAGAGAATACAAATAAACAAAATAAGAAAGGAAAATGGAGAAATTACAAAGAGTATGACAGAAATACAAAAAAAATAAGAGAATACTATGAACAACTATATGGAAACAAACTTGACAAGTTAGAAGAAATGGAGCAGTTTCTGGAAACATACAGACCACCAAGACTGAATCAAGAAGAAACAGACCACTTGAACAGACCAATCAATAGAAATGAAATAGAATCAGCAACAAAAAACCTCCCTGAAAACAAAAGTCCAAGACCAGATGGCTTCACTGGGGAATTCTACCAAACATACAAAGAATTCATACTAGTCCTTCTCAAACTCTTCCAAAAGACAGAAAAGGAAGGAGTACTTCCAAACTCATTCTAGGAAGCCATCATCACCCTGATACCAAAATCAGACAAATACATTACCAAAAAAGAAAATTACAGGCCAGTATCACTGAGGAACATAGATGCAAAAATCCTCAACAAAATATTAACAAACAGAATCCAACAGCACATAAAAAAAGATCATACACCATGATCAAGTTGGATTCATCCCAGGGACACAAGGATAGTTCAGCATATGCAAATCAATCAATGTGATACACCATATCAACAACAACAAAAAGGACAATCACAAGATTATCTCAACAGATGCAGAAAAAGCATTTGATAAGATTCAGCACCTAATTATGATAAAAACTCTTACTAAAGTAGGTATAGAGGGAACATGTCTCAACATAATAAAAGCTATTTACAGCAAATCCACAGACAGCATAATACTCAACGGTGAAACCAAGAAGAGAGCCTTCCCACTAAAATCTAGAACAAGACAAAGATGCCCATTCGCACTACTTCTATTCAGCATAGACTTGAAAGTCCTAGCCACAACAATCAGGCAAGAAAAAGAAATATAAGAGATCCAAATTGGAAAAGAAGAAGTAAAATTGTCACTATATGTGGATGACATGAATATATATTCCTAAAAGCTCCAAACAAAAGCTATTAGAGCTGATAAAAGAATTCAGCAAGGTAGCAGGATACAAGATTAACATACAAAAATCACTTGCATTTCTTTACACTAACAATGAATTAGTAGGGAAAGAAAGTAAAGACACAATACCTTTTAAAATCGCATCCAAAACAATAACATACTTAGGAATAAATTTGACCAAGGAGGTGAAAGACTTATACATGGAGAACTACAAAACACTGATTAAGGAAATTAAAGATGATTAAAGAAATTGAAAGATATCCCATGCTCTTGGACTGGAAGAATTAATATTGTCAAAATGGCCCAAGGCAGTCTACAGATTTAATGCAATCCGTATCAAATTATCCAGGACATCTTTCACAGAACTAGAACAAAGAATCCTAAAATTTATATGGAATCACAAAGATCCAGAATTACCAAAGCAATATTGAAGAAAAAGAACAAAGCTGGAGGAATAACCCTCCCAGATTTCAGACAATACTATAGAGATACAGTAATCAAAATATTGTGGTATTGGCATAAAAACAGACATATGGATCTATGGAACAGAATAGAGAGCCCAGAAATAAACCCACAGACCTATGGTCAATTAATCTTCAACAAAGGAGGCAAGAATATACAGTGGAGAAAAACAATCCCTTCAGCAAGTGGTGTTGGGAAAACTGGATAGCAGCATGTAAATCAATGAAGTTAGAACACTCCCTCATACCATACACAAAAATAAACTCAAAATGGCTTAAGGACTTAAATGTAAGACAATACACGATAAACCTCCTAACAGAAAACATAGGCAAATAGTCTCTGACATAAATTTTAGCAATGTTCTCCTAGGGCAGTCTACCCAGGCAATAGAAATAAAAGCAAAAAATAACAAATGGGGCCCAATTAAACTTAGAAGCTTTTGCACAGCAAAGGAAACCATAAGCAAAACAAAACAACAATCTATGGAATGGGAGAAAATATTTACAAATTATGTAGCTGACAAAGGTTTAATTTCCAGAATATATAAACAGCTCATCCAACTTAGTAACAAAAAACAAAAACCCAATCCAAAAATGGGCAGAAGACCTAAACAAGCAATTCTCCAATGAAGACATACAAATAGCTAGTAGGTACATGAAAAAAATCCTCAATATCATTAATTATCAGGAAATGCAAATCAAAACTACAAGGAGGTATCACCTCATACCAGTCAGAATGGCCATCACTCAAAAGTCCATGAATGATAAATGCTGGAGAGGCTGTGAAGAAAAGGGAATCCTCCTACACTGTTAGTGGGAATGTAATTTGGGGCAGCCATTATGGAAAACAGTGTGGAGATTCCTCAGAAAACTAAAAACAGACTTACAGACTCAAACAATGATCCAGTAATCCCACTCTTGGATATATATCCAGAGGGAACTCTAATTCAAAAAGAAACATGCCCCCCAATGTTCATAGCAGCACGACATATAATAGTCAAGACATAGAAGCAACCTAAATGTACATCAACAGATGACTGGATAAAGAAGCTGTGTTATTTATATACAAAGGAATACTACTCAGCCATAAAAAAAGAATGAAATAATGTCATTTGCAGCAACGTGGATGGGCCTAGAGATCGTCATTCTAAGTGAAGTAAACCAGAAAGAGAAAAATATCATATGATATCACTAATATATGGAATCTAAAAGAAAGAAAGAAAGAAAGAAAGAAAGAAAGAAAGAAAGAAAAGAAAGAAAAGAAAGAAAGAAAAAAGGATACTATGAACTCATCTACAAAACAGAAACAGACTTGCAGACTTAGTAAACAATCTTATGGTTACTGAGGAAAGGGTGGGGGGAGGGATAAATTTGGGTGTTTGAGATTTGCACATTAGTCACTATATATAAAAACAGATTTAAAAAACAGGTTTCTTCTGCATAGCACAGGGAACTCTATTCAATATTTTGTAATAACCTTTAATGAAAAAGAATATGAAAACAAATATATGTATGTATATGCATGACATGAACATTGTGCTATACACCAGAAATTGACACATCGTAACTGACTGTACATCAATAAAAATAAAATAAAATAAAATAAAATAGGGAGAAAAAGAATAATACTAGACAAAGGATGGGAGCCCTTAAACTAGTGCTGGGAGCAGGGCCTCTCCTTTCATGCAAAAAGCCTGAAAACAGGTACAACTACAGACTATGGCTTATACCAAGCTGACCACTTGGGGGAACTACTGAAGGCAGCAGACATGGCCTCTTGGCTACAAACTCTGCCCAGCCATGAGATGACATATGAACTTATAATATTACATGATTAGAATTCTGAACCACCTATACAAGTGCTGCTGTGGACTGAAGCACTGAAAAGAGTCATGGGTAAGAGCAAACACAAAATCAGTGGTAGACAGAGAGGTTGTTTGGAGGGGAAAGTTATAATTCCTTTCAAGATGAGTCTGCAAAGCAAAATTACAAAAAGACAGAAATGACAGTAGGAACCATCCCCTCAAAAATTCAACAATCAGGAGATCCACTCTATACAAACTGAAAATAATAAAGCAATGTGAAAATGGCTTTAAAATAACTGTGGTTGAAATCTTTCACAGATGATAAGGAGTAAGAACCATAAAAACAAAACAGGAAATTGGAAAACAAAAGCACGCATAAAAATAGCAAAACAAGAATCCATAAAAAAGAACCAATTTGGAAACCAGGAAATGAAGATATAAAAATTTCAACAGATGAGACAAACTCCAGGTTATCTGGAGTCCAAGAGGTACTTAATGAATCAGAAGACATTTTCACAATCTGACTCAGAATTCAGACAGAAAAAGAGTAAAAAATATGTTGGAGCATTTAAAAGATTCGAATAATAGGATAAGAAAAATTAAGGCAAAATAAGTAACTAGGAGGAAATATATAACCTTGAGTGCATTCATTAACTTTTTTTTTAAAATCTGGAAAATAAGGTAAGCATTCAATTTAAGAAACAGGAGACAGGAGAAACAAAGTAAGCCTGAAAAGATTAGAAGAAAAATTTAAAATATATAGAACCTCTAGAATCCTTTATATTTTATTTCCTTTCCAAAGGTACTACATTAAAAAAAAAATCAGCAAGAAATGTATCCAAAACAATACAAGGTGGAGAAAACACAAGCTAAACATGCCCATTAAGCTAAATGTGCAAACTTAAATGCACAATTAAAATACAGAGGAAACAAACTGCTCTTTCATGAAACAGTGATTAATATTCTAAGAAAGAACATTTCTGTTCATCTGTGGTATCGTTTTTCGCTAGTTCTCTATTATGTTCAAAAACTGCAAATGTTAATTGGCTCTATAACGTGAACATTAAAAAAAAAATGTACAGCAATGTTTTAAAGTCCATGCACACCAGGGGGAGCTTTTGCCTTTCCTATCTAAGAAGTCTAAATTAAATTTAATTTGGCCTATCTTTGCATACTAATGTTTTTAAACAGCCTATCAAATACAAGGAAAGGTCATGAGCTAGCCCACATCATTATCATTATTATTTCTAAAGTTATTCCCAATTAAGAAAATGCACTGTAGTAAGTGAATTTTTTTCAAGGTTTGAATAAGCTAGATGCATTGCACGGAATACAACAAAAATGATGCTAGGTTGAGATCCTATAAATTACTGCTTCCGGCACACTTCACATACAAAGGTATGTGCCAACTCTTACTGCCTATACCATAAAATAAGCATTTCACTATGTACTAGTTTGTTCGGATTACCTGTTAAGCAAAACACAAGCTCCATGGCAGAGTTTTGCATTCCTCCCTCACAGTACACTTTCATCCATTCGTCACGTTCAAAAAATTTTATAGCAGTTATAGAATTATTTGTGTGAAATTTAGTTTACTTGAGCACTGAATTAAAAAACTGGTTCATTTAGTTACAGATAGAGTTTACCTAGTGGTGTTTTAAAAACTAACAACTGGATAAAGCGGACTAAGGCAATTTGGTGTGGGGCAAATAAATAAAAAAGTAGTTATCTTAATCGTCCTTATATTTCTACTTAGCACAGCTTCAGCAAGGAGGGCGTACACCATAATCAGTGAATGGCCAAAAGAAAGAAAGAAAAAAAACTTTCATGGATTTTATTGATTGGGCTGAAATAAAGTCGTCGCAATTTATGACACAGCCTCCCTTCCAGATTCACATGAATGTTGGAGAAACTGCCGAACGTAATTAAATGAGCTGACAGCGACAGTGAATTAATATGCTTTTTTAAACGCGCGGGCCAAATCCGCAACGGCGAAAGCTATCTGGCCCTTGGGGCGGAGGGTCAGGCTCGAGTGGGGGTAGGTGGAGGATTTACAACGAACGAAAAGTGAGATTGTCATCTTTTGCTATCCTCTTTATATCGCTAAAATTTAAAAAAATCCCGAATTTCAACATAAAAACATTTCAGTGAAATCCAGTAACACCTCGGTCTTCTTAAAATCGTCCTCGGCTCACCACCATGGGGCCTAACAGCACCTGCAGCAACTCTCCCCTGGCCCCTCCATTTCAGAGCGCTCAGGGACGGCAGTCCCTCGTTGAAGAGATGAGGTAAGGCAGGTTTAAAGAGGTAGAGCGACTTGCCCACGGTCTCTAGCCACCAGTGGCAGAACCACAACTCGTTTTCTGGCCCTTCTGGGTCCAGATTTCCCTCTCCCTTCATTCTTGAGAAACTCACACTCCTCACATACTAGGGCCCGGATCCCGACCAGCAAACAAACGTGGACAGCAAGCCTCCCCTCCTACCCTCCAGACCACCCGCAGGCGGACACACTCCAGAGGCGGGATTAAAATGCAGCTAACGAATGAGAAAGCCGCTAGGGGAGCGGCAAGGGCGCATTCCCTCCGACGTCACTTCCGCCAGGAGCTGGGGCTAGGCAGAAGCTCCCAAAATCCCTCTTCCCTCACCCCCGGAAGCCCTTATTGGTAGAGGAAGGCGGCACCAGCACGCGCTCCTTTTGCTCCCGGATTATACCAAGGGATAGGCGAGCGCTAGCCTACGTGCCAAGAGACTTACCGAGCGGAGAAGTTGTCGGGGAACCTGAGAGCACGCTTTTCAGATCGGTCTTTACCACTCCAGAAGGTCCTCTTTCGGAAACTTCAACTCCCAGAGGCAGAGACGGTAGCTGCACGTAGGATGCTACGGAGGTTACGTCTTACGTCAACTAGCTGCGCCAACTGCGGACCTGCAGTGGGAGAAAGGGGAGGGATTTTATGTGGGGCGGGGCTTGGAGTTTCTAGAGTGGGCGGTAGTTCCCTGATTTGTGGGGGTTTTTTTCCCCCCACTTGAAAGCAAGTGTGTATCTGTGGGCATATATTCATTCATTTATTCCTGTGGAGATGGCGGGGGCTGTTAAGATATTCCTACTCTTAAAAATTAAAAATGCGAAACACTGCTGAAGAGCTGTTAATTCTTCCGTGTTGGAGATGAGAGGAAAGCATCTCTTGCCTGAACTATTTATAATTAATACAGAGGGTTGTCAGTATCACATGATTTTACACAACTGAAATCGAAAATCAGATTTAAAAACTGAATCAAATCCCTAATAAGAGGCGTTTAAATCTAGAATGTTTAAGCTTTTTCTTGCTTGCTTGTCTTTCACTCTCCATTTATTCCTTGAACTATTTTTTAATATATTTTGCAAAACACCGGGTGACATTTCATTGTTTGTAATACTTGACCTTATGTAATCTTTTTGCTATATATAGATCAAGTCAACTGAGGGAGAACTGAAACAGAATCTGGTAGATTGTCGTTTTCTATTTAGTTTTTGATTTGGTCCTACTTCTAATAGGTGATTATTTCAGAATTTGAAGAAAAGAATGAGATTTGAGTCAATGAATAGAAGACAGCCATCTCACTATGAAAAGAGCTCTGAACTAAAGTATTCTTGATATTTGAAGACATTTTAACATGTTTAAAGGTTTTAATGGATAGAAATTAAATTCTAATTTGAATTTTCTAAAGAATTAAAAACTTCTCTAAATTTAGTTACAGAACTGAAGCCACTCTTGCTTTAAACCATCAAATTTTACTTGAAAAAGTATGTCAGCTGTAACATGCTTGTAGATCACTCTATTTCTTCGTTATCTCAAATCCAAAATATCTTTTAACTGAGCATTGGCAAGGAAGTCTGGATCCATTTCTGATCTGTTAGTAGGGCATCTTTTTTCAGCTGCGTCCATATCAGGCCAAAGAGTAGCTGAGGAAGGATTAGTAATTGGATATGTAGCCCTTCACATGTAGATCATTAAACTCAGGCTGGCATAATGATATGCCAGATCTTTCAGCAGCTGTTCAGTTGCCCCACAGGGATCTGTTTTATGAATAATTACATATATTTTTTCAGAGTTAATACTCAGTCTCCTTAGATATTTAAAACAAAAATTTTAAGTTACTTTAAAAACCCTCATATTTTATCAGTAGGGTCAATATGTTTTCTTTTGACATAGCCATTGAACTTTATAGCCATAGGGTGCAAAAATTTAAAATGATTCTAGTATCAATCCAAAGCAAGCACCAGCAAAAAATGGACAATTTAACCAAAGATACAGAAAGCATATAGAAAGTATAGGAAGGTAAAATCATGGTATGAAATAATCTTATTTTCACTGATTTGTAAAATTCATGTATTTATTTGGCACATTTATTGAGTTCCATGCTTTTTGTCTTAGTACTGTTTACACAGAGATAATGATCTCTGTTCTTAAGGAATCTCTAGTCTAGTGGGAGAGCCAGTGTTAAATACCATACAACATATAATGTACTTGAGAAGCCTGTACATGGAAAGGAGCAAGTAAATGATCCTAGAGGCAGGGGACGTAGTTTCAGAAACTGAGTAATTTGCTCCATCTTGGAAATTATTTAAATTGGAGTTTTACAGATCTCAAGAAAGGAAAAGTATTTAAAATATTGGGAACGGGAAAAGCAAAGACATGTCATAGTTTGGTACATGACCGAAAAGCTGTGGGTAGGATGAGTAAGGAGGAGGAAAGAATAACCCTAAAGGTTTTTCTGATTTAGACAGCTGTAGGAATATAATTCTGTTAAATGGGTCATTTGGAGAATAGTGGAAGAAAGTTAAGCTTTGAAAAAAATTAGCTTCATTTTGAATATGTGGGTCTGGGGAGTCTGCAGGACAGCTAAGTAGAAGTGGAGATCTAGAAGTTATCAGCATGTATGTGGTCCTTTAAGCCAACCTAAGAGGTTGGAATCAGATGCTATACCCTGGGTTACAAACCTATAATGTTTATTAGGACTGGAAGGTAAATGAGAGAAGCTATCTAGGAGAAAAGTGCCACAAGCCTGAGAGCATATTCTCTGTTTAATCAAGGTACAAGTTCTAAGTAGTAATGTGGGCCTAATGCCATCAGATCTCAATTTTTTAAGAGCAGCTGGAAATCTTTTTGTTTGTTTGTTTTTAATGTGAAATATGATTTTTAAGTGTTGGCAACTATTTTATTTGTGTTTAAATACTGAGCAGGCTAAACAAAACATGTCTTGGACCACATTCAGACAATTGGCAGCCAGTTTGTTAAATTGGACTGTAGAGTGAGAAAGATGAACCAGAATTTTAGGACACAAAAATATGGTAGTAAATAAAATTATGAGCTTCTCCAAGATGCTTGGCCTGAAAACATTGGGCAGTCATCACAAATTATTTTAAGCCTAGGTCTGATGTTTTACTAAGTCTGAGAGTACTCTTCAGCAGGTTGGAGAGTTGTGGGAATAGAGTTACACTTGTGAGTACATTAATTGCAGGCTAAAACCAAAAAGAAACTAATTTTTAAAAATGATATGAAAGGCATCTAAGAGGCAGAATCAACCTATCTATAATTATTTCAACTTGGATTGACTTCAAAAATATAGAAAAAATTTTTAATGTTTTTAAAAATATCTTATTTCCTCCTCCTAAGTAGTACATGAATATAGAAGACTAGGAAGATGACTATGGAGGCAGTGTAGTCTCAACCTCCTCATACAGCAGGTAGAGCATCTAGGATAAAAAAGCGACAATAATAACAAATCATGGCTACAAGAAAAGGAATCCCCATAAAGCTCAAAATGTGAGCAGAAGGGAGCAAACCACCAACTTAGTATCAGCATCTGTGTAGGAGGAAATAGTGGGATGGCAGCAGAGCACCTGAAGGCCATGAGAGTGGGAAGATCTCAAGCTGCCAACAGGTATTCACTGAAAAGCAAGGGAGATCAATATGAAGTAGCAGCAAAACTGACAGATTGTAATTTCAGAATGAGTATAAAAGGACAAGCAGGAAAGTCCGAAAGTGCCAGAGGGGTATTGGGGTCTATGAGTTCTCAAAAATTAATAAACCTGAGCTCCCACTAAGGAGAAACTTCTGGGAATAGAATCCAAATTGAACAGGACAGGTACAATAGAGGCAAAGGAAAAGTTCAAATAAAAGTGGGAGAAAAGGAAAAGGAGACAGAGCTAAGAAATGACCAAGATACATAGGTGTCATTTTATGAAAATATCAGAAAAGGAAGCTCTAGAAGCCAGAAGAACTATTCTACCCACTCCTACCTCTTAAAAGTGTAGAATAACTTACTTAGCCTAAAAACTATACCACAATAAGAATAATAATTGAACTCTATTTAAAGCTGTTATAATAAAAAAGAATATGGAGCAGGAAAAAAGCATATGAAAACTAACCCAATATTTCAAAACAGGAGAAAATTTTTTAATGATAGAATATAGAACAAAATAAAACAAAAACTCAGAAATAAAGTGATTGGAAAAAAGAAGATCTGAAGAGGTGTCACAGAACTCAGAAAAGAATATGAAATGTAAAGAGCACACATATATGTTCAACTTATACTGGAAGTTGTAGCTAGTGCAACAACAAGAAAGGAAAATTAAAGAAGTAAAACTGTTCTCAGGTGACATGATTGTCTATGAAAAACATCCAAAAAAGTCAACAAAAGAAACCCCTCGTGGAATTAATAAATGATTATAGCAAGGTCACAAGTGACAAGGTTAAGATACAAAAAACAATTGATTTCCTATCTACCAGAAATGAACAATTGAATTGTAACCTGGTTGGGATCTTGGAACAGAAAAAAAAGCATTAGATTTAAACCTAGGAAATCTAAATAAAGTATAGATTTTAGTTAATACAGCAATTAGTAATATTAATAATTACACCACACTAATGTAAGATATTAATAATGAGAGTAACTGGATGCAGATATTAATAATGAGAGTAACTGGATGAGAAATCTCTGGAATTTTAATAGGGAAGAACAAACCTGACTCCATATTGAATCTGTTCTTTTACTTTAACCTTTGTTTTCTATTGCTTGTTAATCACTCAAGGGATATTGGCTATAAGCTTAAATTATAATGGCCCATTTCTGGGAAGCTTACCACCCAGGTAATGAGTGTTAAGCTAAATTACCTTTATTTGGCTCACAAGAAACATCCTGACCAGGCCCACCTGCAAATGACTGCAGGAAGGAAGAAATTAACACATTCCCTTCAGAGGCTGACGGGAACCAGGAAATGTTTGACTTTACTCCCTCCTTTTAGTATAAAAGGAACCTGAAATCTAACTCAGGAAAGATGGTTCTTTGGGACATTAGTCCACCATCTTCTCAGTCTGCTGGCTTTCTGAATAAAGTCACTATTCCTTGCTCCAAGAACTCCTTGACTTACTGGCCTGTTGTGTCACGAGCAGTATGAACTTGGGCTTGGTAACAGAATGTCTTAGTAAATAAAATGATTCTGATCAAAATTTAAGTTTTGCTTTCTTTATAATAGTTTATGGAAATAAAGCCATGAATTCTCTCCTGTAAATGTTAGAAATTCAATTTTGTGTGGCCAAATAGAGTGTAAAGTTAGACTCCTTTTAGGGTGACTATTATTGACCCATAAGGATTTTTTAATTGTTGTCAAATACATGTGTGTGGAGGGGTGGGAGGTGAAGGTAAAGTCTGGTTAATAACTCCATTTTGGAAAAATGACTGTCCTTCTTAGAGAGTCTAGTTTCCAAGTGTTTCAAACCTAAGTCTCATTTACTCTTATTAAGGAAATATATTTAGTGCATTTTTATTTTCTCAAAGAGAATTCTTAAATAAAACCTTATAAAATAGTACATGTATTTGCCTATAATTTTTGTCTTGGTACAAAAGAGATCATCACGTCTTAAGAATACAGTCCTCTCTCAGTATCCTTGTGGGATTTTTTCCAGGATCCCTGCTGTTACCAAATTCTACAGATGCTCAAATCCCTTACAGTTGGCCCTCCTGGGTATCCCCTGGCTTTGTATCTGTCAATAAAGAGGACAAACTGTATTTTTAACCTATCAATATTTTTTTGCAGGATTCTTTGAAAATGCTAACTCTGTCACTGAATCGAAAATAGTATTAGTCTTTATTATGACCACTTAGAGATAACTTGAAGAGTCCCTCTAAAAAATTTTTTTTCATTAATGCGCTTTTTTCTTGAACAGAGTAAAGTGTTCTGATGTTACAAAGACTTTTTTTTTCCTCTATAGCGATCATACATTCTTACTTACTTTATCTGTATCTAGTAGGGTGATACATTTCCTTCCAACCTTTAGTGGGGTGAAGTTCATTCAATCCTCTAATCTAGGAAATGAGTTAGCTCCTAACAGCCTCTGACACTCAACAGAAACACAACTGTACTTTGGAATTAGTCAGCCATCTTCATTTCATTGTCTCTTATTATCACTGCAAAATAGTAGTATATATTCCACAGTGTCATGTACTACCAATGAAATTTCATTGCAATAGCATTGTTTTAAAATTTATTATTTGATTTTAAACTGGCTAGCACAGATCAATTTCCCCCCGGAGCAATTTGTTCAGCCTGGAACATCTAACAACAACAATCAAGTGCTCTGTTAGCCTCCATACAAAAGTGTGACAGATTTGCTAAAAGATAGTCTCAATTAATAATTCTATGTCATCCATAAGAAATTCATTTTTCCACTTCCTATCTCTAATATTTTTTATCTCTAATATTGGATCTAGGTCTCAAGGTTTATTTTTCTATAGTCCTTAAATCATTTTACTAAATCAATCAAGTCTAATCTGTGAAATAATTGTTGTTAGGATACCCTAGAAAATGTGAAGAGCTCAGCATAGTGTATTGTACATAGGAACCATCCAATAGATGGGAGCTCTTGTTATCTTTGTACTGTGCTGTGCTTCTGTCCTGCTTCACATGCCGTGTAAAATAGCTGATGAGTTTTGGAAGGTATTTCTCATATATACTGTACATTGTTTGTGCTGCTTGATCAACAGAGCAGCAGAGGAGAATGCCTCTCCTTTGGTACACAGAATTCACTGAATATAGAAAGAGTTTGGCATCCTTATCTGAAGTCTTTCAAATGTCTTTGTAAAAAGTTACAAGCAAAATATAAAAGGATGATACTATTTATTAACAACAGAAGCAATCTTATTTGAACATTTTGTGTTGAAATGACTACTTAATACAGTGACTCATAGAAGCTTTCTAGTGGAAAGCAAATGCTCGAATGAAACAGCGTTTATTTTGTTAGGCAATAGTGACATGCATTTTATTGGTTGGACTCTGGTAAACACCTGACAACGAATGGTACTTTACCCGAAGAGACACGTATCATGCCCCACATAGTCTAAGCCCAGACACATAACTGTGAGCCTAAACATGGAAATACAAAAGACAGTTCTCATAAGATTCAAACTAATCCTTAGTTTAAATAAATAAGTATGTAAAGTTAAGTGGCTTCATACCACTGTGCATGTAATGAAGAAATTGTGGAACTGCATAGAAATCTATTCAAATATAAAGCAATAAAGCACTTTCACATTATCTTGTATTTATAATGCCTACTAGTCATAAAAGCTTATATTTCTTCAACAGTTATTTTTCTAAGAATGGCCTTTTCTATTTACACCAGGAAAACTTAATATTTATAACTTTAAGGCAATAGTCATAACTATTTTATTTTTGTATAGGTACATTTTTTCTAATGTCATGTCTTTATTTTTTGTTTTATTTAATTTTTTTATTGAAGTATAGTCAATTACAGTCTGGAATTTCTGGTGTCGAGCACAATGCCCCAGTCATGCTTATTGTATAGGTACTTTAGCCATGATTTATATATAAAACATGATAGCAAACTAAGTTCTAATCTCAATAGATGATAAAGACAATTTTCACATTTCAGTTCTTTATATAAAAACTTATTTCAAGAGGAAATATGCTTGACTTTGGAGATTTTTAAATTTTAGATTTCATCGTATGGCCCTGTCTATCATGTTGACTATCTTTTAACTGAGTTGTCTAGATTTAACCTTAAGGTTAGGATTCTAGAAAAAGGTTTGAAGAGAGATGAGGGTAGATATTCTTAAACCCATTTTATGTGTAAACATGGCTGTAAGTATTTTCAGTTTCATTCAATTAGCTATTTGCCAGCACTTTATTCCTCCCTTTGCCAAAACATCCCCACGTGTCCCCTGAACTACCTCATTTTTGTAGGTTTGTTCATACCAGAGTTCTCATGCAGAAGTTTCCAAAGAGAAGAGTTGGTTTAGTAAGTGTGGCCTTAGCCTTACTAGGGTATTTGCTTTAGTTCTACAGCAGTTTTCTAGTTAATTTTCTATAGTAGAAATGTTAAGGGTTGGAATTCCTTCTCCGAATTTCTTCCTAGAAATGGGATTCAGAAAGCACAAGGGACTCCAGTCAGCCAGTGCGAGGACTCAGACAAGTGTTTCTTGTCATAGAGCTAGAGGTCTACAATGTTAAACTCAGTGGCCTACTAGGGTGTTAGATAGATGATGCTGACTCACACATAAGGAGAATCATTTAGGTTTTAGAAATGAGAAAGTTTTATCTGTTCTAACATTATTTAGAAGTGATTGGTGGTGGTACAACTTAAAAATTTTAAATTTAAATCCTAAAATTCAGAGTGATTTTTTTAAAATAATAGCATGCACATGGTATAAAAAATTTCAGATGACAATAAAATTCAATCAAATTTATCTGAATTTGCAAATCCTCACTGCCCTCCCACATAAAGTGTAAATGTGAAGATGGGCATTTAATGTTACAGGCGTGATGACGAATACGTGTTGAGCAGAAAAGTATCGCCACCAGTTATCCTTGACAGTCTCTCAGTACTTCTGAACTTATAGGATGGTAGACTGGTTTAGTTTAGCTCCCAAAGTGAAAATTTTCTTGGTTTTCATTTCTGGGAAAAAATAAAAATAAAAAGTGAGAGACTGAAAACTACAGCCCACCTAAGTTTAATCATTAATAGTGAAACTTTCTGCGAACTTAGGTCCTGATTTTGGAGTTTGGAATCTGACCTTTCCCCCAAAGATAAACGTTGTTGCAGGTTCTGAGGAGGGTCACTCCCTCGCTGCCATTGGAAGAGTCCACGTCTCAGTGACTCCTCCCTGGGAACTGGATGCATTAGAGGGTAGCTAGTCAGTATGATTCTTCTTGTTGTGCTTTTTCTCTGCTTCATTTCCTCATATTCAGCTTCTGTTAAAGGTAAGTTTGTATTGCCTTTTGCTAAACTTAAATTTTAATCCTTGAAGGAGGAAAATGTGTGTGTGTGGTGTGTGTGTAGTGAAACAGTTCCTAACTAAGCCATCTTCAAAACCACATAGCTTTGGAATGTTGGTGAAGGCATGGCTGGGTTGAAATGAAAACCAAATTCAAATTCCTACATACATTAAGAAAACAGAGGTTCCTTTTAGTCTCAGACTAGTGTGCTTCTTGCTTGATTTTTTCATTCATGGTCTGTTTTTAAAAGGAAGGAAAATAGATGCCAGCTATTGTTACCTGCTGCTATTGGTCACTCAATGAATACAGCTCCTTCATTTGAATTGTAAAAGTGGATTTAAAAAACCAATTCTTAAATTTCCTTCTAGTTGCCTAGCAGTGTGACATCAAGAAGAATTAGACCCAATGAAAGAGGCATTTGACTTGCCAAAGAATTATGAATGAAATGGTAAAGCCTGTATTTAATTCCATTGGCATTCAAAAGTGATAGAATTGCCATAGTTGTGAATTACAGAAAATAAAACTACATGATATGAATGTAAGAAATAAGACTTCTTATCTTTGAAAAAATAGTGTTCCTCATTATAGTTTCTATTTTAAGATAAAATTGATTAAAAACATATGAATTGATATCTTTCAGAGAAAATAAACATTTTATGAGCAATGATTTCAAAAAGCTGGATAAAAGTGTGGAATCTTGTTTTAAATCAGTTAATTTATACACTCACTAAATTTCTAAATGTTATACCTGTAAAATGATCACTGTTTTAAAGAGTCTCTTAAGAGGACTCACTGTCAAATCAGATTGACCTAACACATAACTTAGCATGATAGGGTCTGAATTTAATACTTGTACTCTAAGTAATTGATAGAAAACAATTTATTTGTAAACTTCTAAAATCCTTTTGTGATAATTGTGGCTTTTTTTTCCAGAAAGTAAAGTTTGTCTTAAGATTTTTTGTGTGGAAAATTTCCACATGAGAAAAAAAGACAATCTTTGTTATTGGAACAATAAATGGTGGGCTGCATTATTTCACCTAAGCAGATCACACTTCAGGTTCTTGAACTAAAGATAATATGTTTTACCAGTTTCTAAAATGTTTAGTATTTAAAGCTACAGCTCTTACTTGGATGAAAAGAAATTTTAATGAGAAAAAAGCAATGGTTTGTAAATTATATCTGACAGAGAATTGTTATGTAGAGAGATTACTATTTTATTATCTGTTAAACTGTTGAATATTCAAAATATGAGCAATTTATATACCATAAGATCAAACCTAATATTATGATTATTCTGAGAAAAATAATTGAGATGTTGTAGTTATTGTGGGCTTCTCTTTTTTTCCCCCCACTCTATAAATGAGAACACTGGATAACTTGAAGTTTTCAAATACATGCACTTGTAAAGATTTAAAAATACACATACACACACAAGAATGACATACAGGGAAATATGACAGAACACAGCAGATAGCTGCAGTTTGTTGTGTGTAACTGTAGCTCAGTGGCAAATCCAGAGTTTTAAAACTTGAAGCTTATGCAATTTAGAGGCCATCTTTGAGAAAAGATTACAAAAATATCTTACATTTGCAAATGTTACTGAAAAAAAGAATGGCATATGTATACAATGCTAGGGTTCCCTTCCAAAGTCTTGGAAGGAGGCTGGGCAAGTGAGGGCTCCAAAGCTTAAGCATCATTAGCTTCACCGTACAAGCTGCTTAAGCCAAACGTCATGGATAAAAAGTACAGGACTTGACAGCTCTTTCTCTACCTAGATGTGGTAACTTTTTGTATTATAGTACCATGATTTAAATATAGACTCCCTGCCCCTTTGTAATGATTGGCACTTAATAAGCAAACTACTTGTGAAGAGTCTACTTTAATATCAGGGCATTATAAATTTTGGGATCCCATGAATCACTTCAAAATTCACCTCACATTTGTCAGTGCAATTGTTTAGCGAATCCCCGGATCTGGGTGGATGTTGAGTGCAAGGTGGACTGTAAAAAGGATGGAGGAGGGGTTAGGATTAGTATGGAAGAAGGCTTGTTTGGAAGAGAGATGCTGAGTGTGATGACCTTCTAGTTTTCTGTTGGATTCCTAAATCCCATTACCTATCATCCTTATCACCACTGCAGGTCTCTTCAAGCCTCATCTTTTTAAATTTGTCTCTACTTTGTCTTATGGCTGAAGTCAATTGACTGTACTCTGATATTGATCTAAGTTTGGTCAAAGAATATTTGAAGATATTTCTTAAAAAGTTCAAAATTTAGAGTTTTATTCCTTTTATGTCACTACAAAATTTACTTGAAGGGGCACATTGAAAAGGTACTGATTCCTTTTGGGGCTAGAATTAATTTCTCTTCTAGTTTTATCTGTCATGCTCTACAGAGAACACCCTAAGAAAGAAATTTGGTCAACAATATAAATGGTACATGCCCCCGCTGCCGAGTATTGCCAGGTCTCTGAATAACATAAACAGATATTTACCAAAGAGGAAAGGATAATAGGACAACACTTCAGCACAATCCACTTACCTGAACCATTTTAGGCTTTATCTCCTGTTGAGAGAGGTAGGAAAACGTTCTAGGAGAACAGAGCCCATTCTTTCCTGTGCTTTATCCTTTCCAAGTCATAGTCAAGAACTGATATGTGTTTCCCCTTTTTACATTCTTTTGACAAGTCAAGTAAAAATAAGAAAAAAAGGAACAGCATGATAGTTTGGAAAGCTTTGGAATTAAAGAGAGGAGAGGGGCTACCTTCCTACAAACTTTTCATAGTTGTTTTCATCAGCAGACACCATCAGGTAGTCCACTAAAACTTGGATTTCAGTAAATTCCAACCTCACATTGTATCTGCTACGTTGGATGAAATGTGGAGTCAGCTTTCCTCAGCTGCCATATACTGCTTACCTTTCAGAACTGCTGTGAGGATTAGATAAGACAACATGTATTTCCTTTATGCCCTAGGTGCAATTTCATAGGTGTCATAAAAAGAAGGCCTCTTTGATCAAAATATCTTCTCAGCCAGAAAGCCAGTGTTTGAACTTGCAACAGTGTCCTCAGTTAAAATGCAGGAGAAGTGGGGATCGGGGAGGCTGGAGGGAGTCACAGACTTCATCTCCTTTGAGGTTTTCCCTGACCATGTCTGCCTTCTGTATCTCATACCTAAGGTTCTGCCTAACTTGGTGCTTGGACACAGCCTCAGCCTGTTTTTGTATGTACACACTGGGATCCCCACTCCTACACTTCCTTCTCCTGGCTTTTCTTAATTCCTATGAAACTTCTTATCACCTTTCTTTAAAGGTTTGTCAGATCATGTAACTTCACCACCCAAAACTTTCCAGTGGCTTTCCTATCTCAGTCAAATTCTAAGTCAATGCAAATGTCTCCCGAAGTCTCCTAGCCAACCATAGGTACCTATCTGACTTCACAACTCCTTCAGTTGTATCTTTCACTTACCCAGTTCCAGCCTCTTTGGCCTCCCTGCTGTTCCTCCGTTACATCTGCACGAACCCTTCTCAGGGCCTTTGAACTTACTGTTCTCACTGTGGATGGATGGGGAGGTAGGGATGTGGAAGAGGAGGGGAGAGGGATGCTCTCCCCAAGGATGTCCATGTGCCTACCTAAAGTCTTTGCCCAGAATATTACCTTCCCGACAAAGCTCTTTCCTCAGCATCCCCATTCCTGTTTCATTTTTCTTCATTAGCACGTCTAACATACTATATAATTTGCTTGCATACTTACTTTTTTATTGCCCGTCTCTTCCTCATTTAAATGTGAACTCCACAAAGATAGAAATTTTGTCTGCTTGCTAACTGGTATAGCCCCAGAGCTTAGAAAAGTGCCTACTATGCAGTAGGTGCTCAGTAAGTCCATATTGAGTGAATGAATGAGTGAATGCCTATAGCTCACTCCCTAGGAATGGAAGTATTCAGCCTCAAGGTTTGTATGAGTACAAGTCAGAGCATGATATCCAGATCCAGACAGGCTATTAGTGGCTCCATGCTAATTTCCTGGGTCATCTTGTGTAAATTGTGTAATCTCTGCCCCTTGGTTTCCTCATCTATAAAATGAGGCTAATAATGGTACCTACCCTATGAGGGTTTTGTAAGGATTAAATAAGTTAATGCACATAAAACACGTAGATCAGTTTATTAGAGGCAATGTGTTTTGGTTGTTTTTTCCTTCAGGCAGAAGGCGCTGTAGTAGGTGATGGAGACAGTAGATGGTAAAAACTTTTCAGATGTTTTCTTCATTTTTGGCTTTGCAAAGTAATTTTACTTCCCTTCTCAGCTGCCTCACGTCCGACCTAGTCATCTCAACCTCCTTTCCTGCCCACTCCCATATGCATATTTCCTGAGAGCGAAAAAGTTATGGTTGCCTGTTATAGTCAACCAGCCAAAGCTACCCTTTTGGCCCTGAGGAAACATGTATACTGAGGTTTTTTTTTTTTTTTTACTATCTCCTGAGAGCTATGGATAGAAATTATACAAAAAGAGTTTATGACCATAAACTTCAAGTAATATCTAGGAAAGGATTACTCCTACTCTTTTATATTTCTTTGAGTTAAGATAAACTTCCTTGGAGAGTGTGTGAACTCCTCCACATGTCAGTTTTTTTTTTTTTTTGGTCCTAATCCTGACTTGTATACTATTTGACATTACATTGTTCCTGCCAAATTAAAGCCTGTTCTCAGATTTTGTGTAGGGAAACATCATTTTATTCAGGAACAGTTAATTTAAATGTATATATGTGTAGTCTTGAAATGCACCTTCATATTAAAAGTTTACTAACTAAATTAATAGAATAAATTACATTAGAGGGATATTCTTTAAATAGTCAAGCTATCCAACTTAAGGGTCTGCCTTATAACCACTAAAATTACATTGGCTTTGATCTGTTGTATTTAAATGATATGTTAATTATAAATATTTTTATTAATTTTATAAAGCAATCTCTGGCTGAACCTGTGCTTGAAATCATATTCATTATACCTCAATAAAGCTGGGGGTGGGGTAGAAATCATATTCATATAATTTAAAGCAATATAATGACATTTCTTTAAAAATATTCTGTAGTTCAACCAGAACAAAATTTAGATAGTCTGATTATTGATTAGGGATACAAACTAAGGTTCTCCGAAATGGGAGCTTATTTGTTTGTTAGCTGTTGTTTTTGTTGTTATTGTTGTTCAGGCCAATGACTTCAGCAGATGGAGAAGTAGAACCATCTTTCATTTAGCAAATATTTACTAAGCTCTCATTGGGTACCACTGTGCTAGACAAGGAATGCATTGATGGTAAGATAGCATAGCCCCTGGCCTAATGGGTGACTTACCGCTAAGATTTGACTTCTGTCACTGTCTTTATGCAGGCCACACAACTGGTCTCTCATTAAATAATGAGCGACTATACAAACTCACATACTCCACTGAAGTTTTTCTTGATCGGGGCAAAGGAAAACTCCAAGACAGCGTGGGCTACCGAGTTTCATCCAATGTGGATGTCATCTTACTGTGGAGGAGTCCTGATGGTGATGATGACCAACTGATCCAAATTATGGTGGGCATTTTCTACCAGAGAGACGCAAAGATTAGATGTCAGCAAGAACTTTGAGAAGTGTCCCATTCAACAACACTTATTTGTGCTCTTGGTCATGTATTCATTTAATTTGTTAGCCATCACTAAAATAAGTAGACACAGTTTTGAAGTTTTTTCTAATCAAAAGAGATCTGATCTTTCCAAATTGTCAAAACAGGCAAATGAAGGCATATACTGATGACTAACTGAAGTATAACTCCCAGGTCTATATGTCGTATTAATAGGTACATTAAACTAGAATCCATTTGAAGTGATCTAGGAGTGAGGAGTCCAGAATCCCTACTATGTGAGAAGCAATTGAGACCACCCTAACTTAAAGAGGGGATAAATTGGGGCCTCCCAATTTTCCTTAGTTCCTTGATATAACCGTGGAAGTACCAATGATGGAGTAAACTGATTCTGCATTCTTCTTGAGGGCAGAACCAAGTGTTCCACTGAATGGCAGTGTTTGGTCAGTTATGAGGCTTGAGATTTACTTGTTAACAAAGAAGTTCAAATTACATGGCTTCTGGGGCCTCTTCCAGGTTTAATATACGGTGATTCCATACTTGCTATGGACCTAAAAGAAAGAGATGTCTTTAGTAAAGTTAGTTTTTTCCTACATGTCTGTGTGAAACAAGCACACAAGACCGAGATTTGCTTCATTATGACTGATAAGTAGTTGCTGATATACTTGATAATGAAGTGTCGTTGCAATACATGTATCAAGTTTTCCAAGTTGGATCAAAATTTTAATCTTCGGACTCTCTAAGCCATTTCTCAATATAACAGTAAAGTATTCTGGAGAAAACATTCTGTACCTCCTTGTTCAGGAATCAAACTGTTCATTTTAATCTTGCATATACAGATGAGGTACAACAAGGCAGGAGTCCTTTCAAACAAATGGTACAGAAAGTGAAAAGCTCAGGCAGACAGCAACAGTTCAAAATGAATGAGGAGAGTGACAAGGACATAAAAAGATCCATCTTGCAGTCACAATTATTGTAAACCTGAATGTCACAGGCTTCTTTAATGGCAGTATTTGTACCTAATTCAAAAACCTAATTTTTGAATACCTTCTCCATTCTTTTAAAGTTGATGGCTAGGTCTTTTGAATCATGAGTTGAAAACGACAGAAGAAATTACAGCCAGCCATGTTTATTGCTTTATCAGTTTATTTTCCTGGAGACTCTGATGCAAACAGACATAAGAAGTTTTCCTAATAGGTTTCTTTCCACGATTCCAGATAAAAGATGTAAATGTTGAAAATGTGAATCAGCAGAGAGGAGAGAAGAGCATTTTTAAAGGAAAAAAGCCACCCCAAATCATAAGAAAGGAGAACTTGGAAGCTTTACAAAGACCTGTGCTCCTTCATCTAATCCATGGAAAGGTAAAAGTGATTTTTGGGGTCCCACACCTTTTTTCCCCCAACTTTATATTTTTCTTTCCTTCAGTAGATATTATTTTTTAGGTGACCATGGTGCCACTACTTTTATGGCAAATGGAATTTTTTCAAAAACTAATAAACAATAGTTGTAAATTAAATGTCTCAGAAGTGAATCAAGGCATTTGAAACACTTATATTTTCTAACCATTTATATTCCTATGTTTATGAAAATCTTTATAATAGAATCAAATATTTGTTTATTGAAGACAGGCATTATTAAAAGGTGCATTCCTTATTAAATTAGGAAGGACTTGAAAGATATTGTAACACAATAGGTCACCATAGGTGATTGGATAAATTCAGGAAAGTAGACAAATTATGAAAATGAAATGATAACTTAGATAAGTGATATTAATACGTCACGAGAATATCAATAAATGGATTAAGTACAAAGCTTTTGAAGGGGCATACCATGTCTAAGAATTGATTTTTTAAAAAAACATTTAGAGATTATTTAGAAACTATGACTTTGAAAAGCATTTTATATATTTATATTTTATATATTAAAGTAAGAATGAACACTAACATACATTTGGATATTTGCTCTGAAAACTCTTTAAGTGTTCATTACTTATGGTTTGAGTCTAATCTATTGAAATGGTCTATATAATATGTTTGGAATTGAGACGCAATTGTGATCTGTGAATTATTAGGCTTTATGTGGGTTTATAAAAAGTATATATTATATTGACATGTATAAAAATGTATTAGTAAAGACAAAAGCTCACTTTTAGGAACTAAAGTGGAAAAACAGAAAAGGACCATTATAGTTAAAACTACAAGTTTCTAAAAATGTCTCTAGATCCAAAATTTCTAAAATAGAAATAGAAACAAATGCTTTAAAATATAAATTTAAGACATGTAATATATTGCTATTTATGATTCTCATTTGTATGTAAAATAATAAAAAGGATTATTGTATCATCACCTCTCTGACAACCAAATGTGAATCACCATTTCAAGAATGCTTCTCTTCCTTCTCCACTTGTCAAAATACTTACCATGCTTCAGGCTTCTCTTTTATAAAGTTCACACCCTTCTAGCCAGCTGAAAATAACCAACCCCCTTTAGAGCCATCTTAGTACTTTATAGCTCACTCAAGGTCCTGATCTCTTGCCTTTTGGTCATTTGTGTTCATTGCTAGATTATGGGTTCTGGTAGAGAAAATTCTTGTTCCTCTTTATATTCAACCCCTTTCCCCTCCCCTGCTCCCCAACACCTCAGGCTCGTCTATTCCCTTTCTCCCCAGAGCACCCAGAACCCGGCCTTGCACTGACTGATTTGGAGTCTGGAAGCCTTTCCCAACATTCTTCCAAACCCCGTTGTCCCCTGGGCTTCTTTCTATCCAAGCATTTATCATGGTGTATTGCCATTCTCTATTTGTCTGCCATCCACATTTAGAGTTAGCTTCTCTTGGGAAGCAATCCTGTCTTTATCTCTGTATATTCAGTGCCTTGCTCATAGTGGGAACTCAATAAATGTTTATAAACAAAAGGAATGAGCAAATAGGTTTATATGGGTCTAAAATGCGTGAGACTTTGTGAAAGGCTGTGCATATTATTTGCTTAATAATAGGTGAAACATACTTAGCCTTTAATGCCTGCACTGACTGAAGGCATTACAAGAATTCTCTCCTTTACCCTCCTGACAGCTCTAGGAAGCAGGTGCTGCTTTATGGTCCTCTTGTAGTAGATGAGGAAACCAAAGTTAAGAGAAGAAACTAGCCCTTGGGTCAACCAAACGCCAAGTGGTGGAGCTGGGATTCAAAACCGAGGGTCTGATTTCAGTGTCTGTGCTGGAAACCTCTGTGCTTTACTGCCTTTTCTAGCTGGAAAGTGTCTGGGGAGAAAACCCACCCCTTTGCTGGCCTTCTAGTCTAACTTTCATTCTGCACTGTACCTATTAACTCCCTTGATTTTCAGATGACACAACTTTATTAGCAACATGAAGTCCTGTTATTTTCTTCTCTTGCCTTCCAATGTGGCAAGATGCTTGAGCAATAAAATATCAATTGCATTTAGAATCTTAATGACAGCCCATCATTTTATAGCCCCTTGGGTAGCAGTTGAGTACAAAGTCTTTGGTTACTCAGACAAAAGGACTCAGTGCCCTCACTGTTCAAAGGCTGGCATGGAGCTGCCACATCGTTATTTCAGTGACTCCAACACGCCATTTCTACAGGAGCTATTACTTGTGATGATTTACTGTAGCCAGAGGGTAAAGTGCATTGTGGTATCTTTCAATTATCTGATAAAGCCCTTGTTGGAAAAAAAATGATCCTGGAGACTAAGAAACCATGTGGACTTTTTAGCCACATTCCTGTCAGAAAGCTCATTATTTAAATAACTATCACTTCATCTTCCTATGAGAGAAGTGATTAAAAGAAAGACTGTACTGCTGATTGGCAGTTTTCTCAGAGTAGTTTCTACCACAGGCTCAATTTAAGTTTTACTCCCTGAGATTTCTGTGATTTCAAGGATACTCATCAGCATGTATTTTCGGTCTTCCAGAGCCTCCTGTTTTAAGCTCCCATATTTACATCATAAAAGATATCTCATAGAAATACTTAGGTGCATATTTATTGCACATATTTTTTTCTTTGCCCACTTATCTCCCCTACTTAAATATTTGGGTGTGACTCCAGTTTTGTCTACAAATCATAAATGAAGTTGGAAAGATGGCAGTCTTCTGATTAACACTGACGAGCAAAAGATGCCTCTAAGTTACAGCATGGATTCTTTTATGGCCTGAGATGCTAATCCAATTAGCTGGAATATTACCAGATTTCCATGTCTTGTTTTCGCAGTCAGTGTTGTTTAAGTTAGTGATGTGGCTGCTGCATCTTGCCTTTATTTTGTGTTGATTTGGGCAGATTTGCTCTCTGAATCCAGCGGTGTGTCTGCTGTACACTCACAGAACCTCCAAATGAAACGTGACACCTTGAAAACCTTCTAATTCTTCATATATTTCTTCACTTGTCTGTTTTCCAATGTGCCATTTCCTAGCTGTGCTTTGTCTTAGATACATATCAAAGAGACATACCTTCAGTTAAGTAGACCAAATAAAATGACTTCTCTCATTTGCTGGGATCCTTTTTGTTTATTTTTGCTTGTTTGGCAGTTAATGAAATTTTGCTTTCTCTTATTCTTAACAAGTGATTAAATTAATGGAATGTATAGAAGTATTTTTTTCCTGGGGGAAAAATATGAATAATTCCTACTGATTCCAACGGGAAATTGGCCCTCAAAATTTGGCCAGAAGAGACATGGCATCTGCTTCCACACAACCCACCCGTCTCCCTCTGCGTTTGGGTTTCTTGGGTTAATGGCTTAGTTTGTAACTAGGTTGTGCTGCTGCCGGTCTCTGGAAGCTCCGGGGACTGCGAATTTAGATAACAGTCCTGTGCTCACGGATGTTCAGAGCTCATTTCAAAACTGATTGAAGTAATCAGGTTTATGGCCTGAATATAATAAAACTTACTTAATTCCTGTTGTGAAATAATGAATTTAAGATTATTGCTGTCACAGTCTCCTGGATTGAACTGCCAAGTTCTGACTTTATTATCATTATTTTTTTAATTATCAAAAGCTGATTCTATTCAAACAGTTTTGACTCTTAGCTAATATGGATACCAGTGCTGTCTTCCCTTTGGATCTCATTGATCTGCACTAAAGGAAGAGAATTTAGGCCCCAAAGGTAGCAGGCACACAAAGGAAAAAGATACTTGTTCCCTTTCCTAGTTCTAGGGAAACAAATAAAAGTGAGTAGAAGGAATTTTTAGAAAATCCTCTTTCTGCCTTGCAGTTTACATTGTTCACCCTGCCAGGAAAAAAACCTGTAGCATCATTTTCTTAGGGATCTAGCAGTCAAGAGCGAAAGAAATAGGCCAGTAATGGGAGAGCACTTAACCTTATGGATAGTCTAAAGAGTAAATCTGAGAACTGGGTTTCCTAAAATTTTAGGTAAAATTTTATAAATAGTTCAGGCAAGTTTTGTAACTTGGAAGGAAAGTGAGGATACTGATGGTAGTACATGTATTTTTCCCATTTAATGGCTCCTCTTGTTTTCCTTAAGTATTTAAGGCTCAGGCCCCCAAAGTCACAGGCCTTAGGCATGTGTGCACCACTACCAGTGAGCCCTTCTGACTGCACGTGGGCTCACGTGGTCCAGTTTTGAAGCTCTAACAGTCATGATACCCGGAGATTTCATACGCCCAGATATTTGAAAAGGAAGTTAGTTGCCCTGTAATTCCTAAAGGGAAAGAAGACCTAGTTTACAAAATAGACCATCAGAAACTCAGCCTTGGTTCTGAGAAATTGCCAGTGATTTGTTTGAGAATATGATACCATGAATTTTCAGACGCTGAGGTCACTATTCCAGTTCCTTTTTAACCTGGACAAACACAATTCCAACATTTATAGGTTTTGTCCAGTGTAATGACTAAAATTGATTGCTGGATAAAGTATCTGGTAAATCTGTCACTAGGCAGATATGTAGAAAATACAGACAGAAATTTGAGGCACTTGTTTGCATAATTCAAGCAAAATATTTTCTTCTTCTGAGGTATAAGAGCGTTTTCATGTACGGTGAATTGTTCAGATTGGTGTTAACTGAATTTATTGCATAATTACTGAGCTTTCAGTTTTACTTGAGAAGTTATGGTTGGCTTTAAAGAGGATAGGAAGGCATTCAGGATATTTCTGGTAGAAATGCCAGCTATAATTACCATAGAATTCGGTTGGGAATTTTTACAGGGAAGCTATATCCATCCTCTCCATTTCTAAATCATGTGATGTGTTTGGAGTCAATACAGGGTGAAAAATGACAGCTTGCTTTCCAGAAAACTCTTTGTATTTTTATCCTTGTTTCTTAAACATGAGCTAAATGATCAAAATGGTATGAGACACTGTTATCACCTCTGTGCCTATAAATATCAAGGATGAAGCAAACTAAGATACGCCATTTACTGCTGCAGCCAAATCACAGCCGCCTTCCTCATTACAACTTCTTTTTCCTGCCTTCTGAGGAGACTCAAAGCAGAGCCTGGGGCAGTGCTGGCACCTTGAACCTCAGATCTTCCAACCTTCTGTGTCTCTTTATACTCAGGGCTAACATGAATGTTCTGGAGGGCCGAGGAACGTCGTTCCTGTGGAAGGTTGTCCACGGCACGTGGCCACATATGGACCCTAATCATTACCCTCGGAGGCTGTCCCAGCTCAGGTGTCTCAGGCATGGTGATTGCCATCCTCTTCCAAGAATCTCTTTCTTTGCCGTTATTTTAAACCTTGGTTCGTTTTTGTTTCAAGCAGAATTGCAGGTAGAGAATAGGTTGACACGTTTGAAGAGAATGTACCTAATTTCTCTTCGTGGGGCCATCTTTGTTTTCACAGAAATCCTGCCCCATATCTGTGCTCTTTCCTTCCCTATGCTGTGCCCATCCCATTCAGAGCCTTCATTACCGGTCTCCCGAAATTTCACATGCTGATGGTCTGGCTTCTTAGAAATGTCAATAACTTTCTTTCACGAAAAAAGAGATTCCAGCTTTGGAGTAACAGAGCTCTTTCTCCCCAAATCGATAGGGGTGAGACTCTAACTTTTCCTGCTATATATTTAACAAAATCTAATAAATGATGCATTTTTGCTCTGTTTATGTTTGTTTGTTTGTTTTTGCCTAGGTCAAAGAGTTCTACTCATATCAAAATGAACCAACAGCCATAGAAAATCTCAAGAGAGGCCTGGCTAGCCTCTTTCAGATGCAGTTAAGCTCTGGAACTACCAATGAGGTACTTACTAATATTATTAAGGATCCAGAATCTTTTCAATAGTTACCAAAATTGTATACATGGATTTCTATTTGTAGAAATCAGTTAAAAAAAAAAAGCAGTTACTGATACAGTAATGCTCAGAAAAGATGAGTTGGGTGTTTGTCTCATTTACGTATGTAACAAATTGCCATTTACCTCAATTTGTATTCAAATACAGGGTAAAAGGAACTAGAATCAGTTATACAAAGGAGACCTACAGAATGACTGAACGAGACAGATGCAGAAAACCTTGAGGAGCCTTCTAGTGACATCAGTGTGTATCGCTGTCCCTTGGGGGAACTTATTAAAAATGTAGATTCCCTGGACGCACTGCAGAGATTCTGAATCAATAGCTTAGCATCTGCATTTTAACAGTTTTCTCATACAATGTAGATGTATTGTCAGTTTGAGGAGCCAGTGGTCTATGCCACCAACTCCCTTCATTTTATAGACGAAGAAACAGGTTAAAAGAGAGAAATTAGGTGGCTCCTCCAGGATCACACTTGGAGTCAAAGGTAGAGCTGAGATCAGGTTTCCTTGTCTGAATTCAGCCAGTCCATGACTTGGTGAGAAAACCTGATGGCCGGGCTGGGCCAAAGGAATACCAGCTAGAAATGGAAACTGGCCACAGTGCTGGTGGAGGCCAGAGGGAAGGCTCAGAGATGCTAAGCAGAGTCTGTTTTGGGATACTTTTACCTACGCTCAAATTGTTGATGTGACTTATGATGAGGTGAATTAATCCCACAGGTTTTAAAGGATTTCTAATATTCAGCTCATTAAAGTGTGTGCACACACACAGAGCATTAAAATTCAACTCCCCTTGCCATGTAATTACCCATTTATGAGAGGTTTTGGTTATGACGAAGCCATTTGTCCAATTCCTTTTTGGCATTAGAGAGAAGCAGGAAATCCTTTATTTTTCCTGGGGCATAAGAAGGTACTAATAAGACTTAAAGAAGGTGGAAAAGAATCCACATGCTGCAGGAAGCATTGAATTCCTCCTTCTTCTTATCTTGTCACTCTGGACAAAAGGCCATCTCCCAGGATATATTGGGGCCCTAATTTTCAAGCTACTTGCTGCTGGAATTCAAATGGTCCATACGAGAATCCCAAGCATTATATTTTTGATTTTCTTTTTAGGTAGATATCTCTGGGGATTGTAAAGTCACTTACCAGGCTCATCAAGACAAAGTGACCAAAATTAAGGCCTTGGATTCATGCAAAATTGAGAGGTCTGGATTTACAACCCCAAATCAGGTATGCTTTCTATCACTTTCTTTGAAGTATCCAAATAATTACATTTTGTAGAGATTTTTGGTGTTTTTTTTAAAAAAATTAAAGTATAGTTGATTTACAATGTTGTGTCAGTTTCTTGTATACAGCATAATGATTCAGTTATACATATATATTCTTTATCATCATCTTTCGCATTACAGGCTGTTATAAGATATTGAACATAGTTCTCTGTGCTATACAGTAGACCTTGTTTATCTCTTTCATAGGTAGTAGTTTGTATCTGACGTTTTACAGAGATTAATCAAAAATAATAAATGAATAAAGTAACAATATAATTTGGGAACATGTAACATTTTTAGTTTAGGATATAGTTTTACACAATATCAGATGAAAAGATTTATTTTAATATATTGTAGGTTTGGGTGATGCAGTGGGTTATGAAAGGGAAGTTTTTGTGAAGATGAAAAGATAGTTTGCTTGATTCAAAGATAAAAAGCTGACTGCTTATTACCACCACATATATATACTTATTTATTTATTTATTTAGGTCCTGGGTGTCACTTCGAAAGCCACATCTGTCACTACCTATAAGATAGAAGACAGCTTTATTGTAGCTGTACTTGCAGAAGAGATACGTGCTTTGCAACTGAATTTTCTACAAACCATTGCAGGCAAAATAGTATCGAAGTAAGACAATGCTGAAATTTAAATTTTCTTTCCTGTTCTTTGATATATTTTAAATTTGGTTAAACTTGGTTTTTAAAAATATGTCTACATATATAGTGTTTCCTCATTTTGACTGTGAGCTCCTTGAAAACAGTGATTATACCTTATTCATTTTTACTTTTCACATCTATAATAATATGTGGCATGCATTAAACACTTGAAGTTTTAAGAATCTTATTAAAAATTGTTTATTGAATAAAATGTAAATTTTAAAAAGGCAAGCCAGTTGATTCATTCTAGCTTATTTTCTAATTTCTCTGTCAAATGTTTCCAATTTTAAAGTTAAAAAGAGGTGGCATTTGCATGTTCTCTCCTGTAGATTTTTTGTTGTTGTTGTTATTGCTATTAATAAACATATAAAAAGTTCTGTAGCAAAGGTGATGTGACATAATTTTTGATGTGATTTTTATAGCAGTACTTACATATTCAAGCCTGTTTTTTCAATTTGAGAAAATTTCTCTGGTCAGAATAGTTCTCACAGGCTTAAGAACTAGAATTTCAAATCTAAGAGTATGTATTATTTTCAGATTTGAATTTAGAAGAACAATTTCTAGCATTAAATGGAAATTACATCTTATGTCATTGCTTCTCAAATGTTTCTTTTGAAGCAACCCTAACGTCAGCGGTGAATGGATGCAAAATCTTGGTAGAAGTGCCTCAAACCATAAATGCTTGAATTTTTTTAAAATTGAAGTATTGTCAGTTACTGTGTATCAATTTTTGATGTACAGCATAATGTTCCAGTCATGCATATATATTCATATATTCGTTTTCATATTCTTTTTCATTGAAATTTGATTGAAGTCTCATCTGGAGTAGAGCTTTGCCTTCTACTCTGTACTATGTCTATATTGTTTTCATGTATTTTCATGTAAAATAAATATTTCTAATTGCTTAGGTTTATCAGGTTTCCACTGTTCTATAACACATCACTCTAAATTTAGTGTTGTAAAAAGCAGCAATCATTTTGTCATTCTGCCTCAAAATTTAGGGGCTTCCTGCTAGGCATGACTTGCTTGGTGTCTTATGCCACTGCAGACAGTCACGGACCAGAGCTGGTGCAAGGTTGCTCCCTCACCTATGTAGTGTCTGGTCTGGGAGATTCAACCTCCTTGTGCATCCTTGTGCATCTCTCTATCTCCATGTGCCTCTCAGCGTGGCAGCCTTAGGTAGCCAGACTTCTTACACAGCAGCTCAAGTCTCCCAAGTATGTGCTGTCGGCATGCCAGGTGAAAGCTGAATTCTCTTTTATGACTTAGCCTTACAAGCCATGTACTGTAACTTCCACTGTCCTCTGTGCATGGGGCAGTGACAGCATCCTGCCCAGTTCAAGGAGAGGGATGCAAATTCTACTCTTGAAGGGAGAGAGGCAAGGTTCTGAAAGAGCATATCAGACAAAAAGATTTTTGAGACCATTTTTGAAAAATAAGATTTCCTACTGGTCTTAGTTAATAAGCAACATGTGGTTGCATTAAAGATACCATTTTCAGAGAGTTGGGCTAAATCCAAAAGAGATGACATCACATATCTTGTTCAGCATCCATGCAAATTGTCTTTTCTCTAGTCTTTTGTCGTAATATTTTGAAGATCCTGACTTAAATTTTCAAATCTTTGAATAAAGTTGTTTCTCCAGAAAGATTTCTTAATTATCTTGATTTCATAATTATTTCAGTCACTGCTGGAGATATCGCCGTTTGGAAGATAGGGCCTTACATAATTTGAATAAATTAGTGTCTTGTTTGCCAAAAGAATGGCAACAAGTAGCTTGTTCACTCAAAATAACTAACTGCTAACGGGATATTTCTCTTGCTTCGTGGTGCAGGCAGAAGTTGGAGCTGAAGACAACAGAAGCAGGCCCAAGACTGCTGCCTGGGAAGCAGGTTGCGGCCATCATTAAAGCAGTCGATTCAAAGTATGTGGCCATTCCCATCATGGGCCAGGTCTTCCAGAGCGAGTGCAAAGGATGCCTTTCTGTAAGTGTGAGCAACTGCATTGTGTGGCCAAATATGGGAATAATCATGGCTTAAAAATCTGCTTTCCTTTTGTCTCCAATGGAAGCTTGAATTCATCTGAAGAAAGTTTCCAAACTATAAGGGCACTGCTGAGCTATAATGGCAGTAGCCTGATACCGTGCACCTAAGGTGATGCATAATACAACAAGAATTAACGAATGATCACCATCCACTCATTTCAAATAAAACATTTATGACGTAAGGACATCTTCTTAAAAGCAGCACCTAGAATGCAGGGGGATAAGGGCCTGACGAAGTTAGGGGGAAGCTTATGGTATAAGATCATGGACAGGGATCCGAATCTTGGAAATTTGGCCACTTGGTAGCAATATGTTATGTTCATAGGTGAGATATTTTACTGGGCTCAGTGTTCTGAGAATTGCTGTGAGGACTAAAAAAGAATACCAAGCTCTCTGCCTAAATTAGGAACACTTCTTTACCACACCCCAACCTCCCCTGCAACTACAGCCAGAAATGAGATAGCACATCTCCAAGGTAGGGTGTAGATCATCTGGCAACATTTTTAATTCAGCAAAGAGAAATCTCATTTATTACATGAATCAGTTGGGATGTACAGGCACAGGAATGCCTCTGGGCTCCAGAATTTCCTAATACTTAACCTCTCGTCAGGAGGGCAAACCCTTGGTTTCACACTGTTTGTAGCTACCAGAAGAGGCTATTCTCTTGGATGTTATTAGTCTTCAGAAGAGTAGAATCATCAAGAACAAAAACCATAATTTACTCAAAGTACAAGATTAATTCCTTACTAGTTTCTCAAAGTATACCAAAATTGAATTAAGGGAAAAAACAAAATGAAACAAACAAAAAAATCATTTTCAAACTTAATTTTGTCTTTTGTTTTTCTTCTATAAATCATCTAATGTTCCACGGTAATTTTCTAATGTCCTATGAGATGGAAATTATTTAGAAAGATTACTAATGAAACCAATCATCTTTTCTTATGCTGTTACTTTCTCCCCCTACTGTTATCAAACGTTATGAGTCACTAAGATTTTTGATGACTGTTTCCTCATTTTTGTAGGAAAGGTTTATATCTTTGAGGAATTTGTTTTTCCAACTTTATTATAATGTCACCATTGCAACTCTTTAAAGAAAAAAATCTGACCTCACATTGATATGCTCTCTGCCCTCAGAAACGACCCGGTAAATCTTTAGCTAAGTACTACTGGCATTTTGTTTTGGAATATCCTCTTAAGATTACATAACCAAATGGGACTTGAAAAAGAGCAAAATATGCATCTATTGCTTATTAGAAGGAATGAATAATTTAAAAACTGGTAACACACTGATTAGCCAGAGTTAGAGGTCACTAATGGGTTTTAAAACATTTTTTTTTACAAATAGGAGGAAAGTGGTAAGCTATGAAAAGTAAGTTCTTTAGCTTACTTGTAAGTCAAAAGATGTTATCGATTAGAACTATTTACTGGTTTTAAAACCGCAGTAGCGTTAACAGTTAGCTTTGTCTAAGTGCTACTCTACTTAACAAGGGTACAAGTAATGAGCAGTTCAGACCTCAGCAAGAGTAACACATAGCATTTCACACAAACAATACCATAAAGAGGTGAAATAGAGGGCTCAGGTTATCGCAGAAACTGATTTTCAGTGAGGTCCCAGTACATGCAAAGCAAACACAACTTTTCAGCACTTCTGGCTCCCTTTCCCCTTCCAAGATCCTGCTGTCAATGAAAATTCTGCGCCATTTCACTGTGGTAGGCAAAGCCTGGCCTCAGATATAATTCCCTTGGTGTTAGCCATGGAATGAGCTACATGCCCAGAAGCTTGAGGTCGTTCGAGCCAAACGCTAATAGATAAATGCCGTCCTCCTACAGAGGAATTGTACACAGGGTCAGCCGGCCTCTATATTTGCCTATGAGAGTCACAGGAGTGTGCAGGGGGCGATCAGGTATGCCGAGGTAAGATACAAAAAGCTTCCTGTGCTTGTCAGATACACAGGAAAACTTATTTCTGGAAAGAACATCCTCTGTAAGTGTGGATGTTCGGAACGACGAGTGTGGTCTGGGCCTATGGCCATGTCTTACAGCTCTCGGAGCACTGGCAGTCCATCAGAACACACCTACAGCCTGACAACCTCTCCAAGGCCGAGGCCGTCAGAAGCTTCCTGACGTTTGTTCAGCACCTCAGGACTGCGAAGAAGGAAGAAATCCTCCAGATCCTAAAGGCTGAGAAGAAGGAAGTACTGTGAGTTCCCTGGGAGCTGCGTGGGGCTGTCTGTAGGAAAGCATTTCTGGGTTATTGTTTGTTAAACAAGTAAGATCCATTTTTAACCAACGGTCTCACATTCAAATCAATTGCTTTGTTGTTTTGCATTTGCATTGAACAATTACACCACAATGCTGTAATTTAATGGTTACTTGACCAGAAATGCAGTAACAAGTTTTCAGCAGTGTCTCAGAGTGAACTTCTTTTTTTTTCTTGAGTGTTCCTGAGGTCCAGACTGGTACATAAGGAAGGGCAGGGCTTCATTCTGACACCATGGTTCGCGTGATGTCTCTGTCATGAAATTGTGCTCCCAGAGCTGTTAATTTACACTTGAGAAGATTTCAGAGTTGATTATAAAAACAAGGAAAGAGTATGATTTTTTCAATTGAAAATGTGTTTTCATTAACTATCCAGTGATCATCCCCATCAAAGCCATGTTTTAAAAAGAAAATGGAGACCTGAGGCAAACAGTCAAAAGAATCCAAAGGAAAGAAATACATACATCATTTGAATATTTGATGAAAGTGTGCTTTGTTTTACATGCATAATAAAGAGAGTTGACTTAATTCTCAAATTTACTTTGTAAACACAAATACAAATACACTTTGTAAAGACAAGTGTTTTGGTCTGCAATACAAAAAAGTACAAATAAAACTCTATGATACTAATTATCCTAATTGATGATATAGAACATGGCTCAATTAATTTGCCAAATAGTGGAAACTAGCCACTAATATAATCAAAAGTAGAAAGTGGCTAAGTTACACACACACACACACACACACACACACACAGTGCAACAGTAGTCACTGAGTTCAAAGGATTTAGTTACCCAAGAAAAGGAGAATTTAGCTTTTTTAATCCTGAGAAATCTGTTTATTCTTGATTGTATTTGTTATTTATTTGCCTTGACATTTAAAAAAACTGGTAGGAATTCTGTATGACTAATTACAAGTTGGGTACTCTCTTCAAAAATAAATATGTAAACTAGAAGTTGAAAGGCATGCAAAATTAAAAATTCTCAGACTCTGTTTTAGTCATAGAAATCAAGAATATATTTTAGGGTAACTTATCTGTATGTCAAGAACAAAAATACTGACTAGAACAGTGTAAAAATTAGCAATTAATTTAGAATTGAGAGTACACTAAACCTTAGTCTTATTTGTAGCCTAAAAATCTTAAGGTGGCAATAGTTTCCATGATTGCATGATGTATTTTTGAAATCAGATTCTTTATACAATATTGTACCATATAATAGGTAACACACATGTAACACAGTGTAGTAGAAAAGATGGTGGGATAAAATCAGAAGACCTGGTTTTAAATTCTGACTTCTAAGAGCATATAACCGTTAAGTAAGTCATTTACATTTAGCTTCCCTGAACTTCGCTTTCAACATCTGTGAAATACAGAAAATAATTCCTACTACTTATTGTAGGATATTGAAAGTCAGGGAGGTGGAATGTAACATTTCCCAAAGGGTCTACTGTGCATATCCTATAATTTGCAGATTATTAGCAAGTAGGCCGAAAGAAAGAATTCTGTGAACAACTGAGTTTAGAAAGCATTGGGGAAAACCAGGTCAAATAGTTCTCTTTGCTGCAGAAATGTTCAGCTTCTTTAATCTGATAATATTATGTCTTAAGTTTCCTTAAACATATTCTAAACTTACATGACCTTGAAAAATCCTGATTCTAAAAGTATTTTGTAGCACTAATGTTGCATGAAAAACACTTTAGGAAATACTGACTGTAACTAAAGACCATGTACTCCAGAGTAAGAAAAACCTGGGTTCCTGTCCCAGCTATACATTTACCAGCTAAGGAACCTTGAAACAAATGACTCTGAGTCTGTGTCCTCATGTAGTAAGAGAGAATATTAGTATTAAACTGACAGAGATGTTCAGGGAGGTGGTCGTATTAATAACAGCATATACACTGTGCCATGCACGATTCTAAATGTTTCACACAGATCATGTAATTCAATCGTCCCAGCAATCCTAAGGTAACTATTGTTTTAGTTACACGTTTCAGATGAAGTTATAGCAAAAAGAGGTTGCACACCTAAATTTCTAGTGCAGTGCTTGCCTAATAGACACTTAATAAGTATTCTTTCTGTCTCTGCTTCATTCCTGAAAGGTTTTGTTAGGATCAAAATGATATGGAGCAAGTATATCTTTTTTTAAGTATAAAGTATTAAACACATGTATGGTATGTTTATAGATGTGGGATAAAATATTTACATATATAATGTGTTCATCACTATGACAACTAGCTTCAGAAATTCTACCATCCCAGACTCAACCAACCAAAGATTCTTGATGAGTAGAATATGTAACTGTACTTTCTTGTAGGGGTTCCAGTCTGCTCACACCTAATCATTGTTGCTTTTTGTTGTTTTTTTTTTGAAATGAGCAAATCTTCTTTCTTGGATACAAATGAAGGCTAAAAGAACGTCCCATCTTTCCATTCAATAATACTGCCCTAGCTAAATTAAGCATTTGAGAAATATACATATCTGCAAAGCTAATTAGAGATAGAAGTGATTTGGGGGACCATGGCTTTTCTATATTATGCATACAGAAAAGAATTTTAACCTAACTTATGATATTATTTATATAAATTGATTTACAAATCTCCCAATTTTATTTGGCTTAGGCTAATATAGTAAAATAAATTTATATATTCTGAGTATATACTGAGTGAGAAAGGAGAGAGTTAAGGGAGAGGTTTAAAATAAAATGAGGGGGTCTTTTGGAGAAAGTCACTCATTTTTCTTTTGTTTAAATTAAAATTTGTTTTACTTCTTTAGGAAACTCAAACTAATGGCATCTATGAATGGTAGCGATTTAAAATTTCCTAAGCACCCTAAGCATTGATGTCCATGACTATGCCTTTCTGTAGGCCTCAGCTGGTGGATGCTGTCACCTCTGCTCAGACCTCAGACTCATTAGATGCCATTTTGGACTTTTTGGATTTCAAAAGTGACAGTAGCATTATCCTCCAGGAGAGGTTTCTCTATGCCTGTGGATTTGCCTCCCACCCCGATGAAGAACTCCTCAGGGCCCTCATTGTAAGTTAAATGGACACTGGGAAAATAAAGGCTCTCAGCTGCTAAAAAGCTCTTGGGATTCTAAGCAATAATTAAACAGAAAGAGAAAGAAAAATACCATATGGTATCACTTATATGTGGAATCTAAAAAAATAAAATAACACAAATGAACCTATTTACAAAACAGAAGCAGACTCACAGACATAGAAAACAAACTTATGGCTACCGGTGGGGAAAGGAGGCTGGGAGGGACAAATTGGGAGTTCGGGATTTGCAAATATTAACTACTATACATAAAATAGATAAACAACAAAGTCTTACTGTACAGCATAGGGAACTATATTCAATATCTTGTAATAGCCTATAATGGAAAAGAATATGAAAAGACATATATATATATATATGATATAAAGATATATATATATATATATGTATATACAACTGAATCACTATGCTGTACACCAAAAATTAACACAACATTGTAAACTGACTATACTGCAATAAAAAAAGTTGCTAGCATCTATGGCCATACCATCCTGAATGTGCCCGATCTCGTCTGATCTCAGAAAAAAAAGTTGCTAGCATCAGAATGAAGGCTGAAAGTAGAGCCTTCTGATTATTCATATTTAAATTCTGTTGGACTATTTTCTACCCATTAATCATTAACTGTATAGTACATTATTTCACATAACGTCTTCTTTGCAATTCCTCTAAATAACATAAAATATACTTTATAAAAATTTAAAGATTGTGTTCACCTATCGAATAATGTGACATGGGACAAAATTTCACAAGGGAGAAGTCTTGGTTATGCTTCAAAATTTGATTTTAAAAGATTTGTTTCGACTTCAAAAATCTTCATGGTATTTAATACTCAGTACATTGAAGAGACATAATTCTTTTGATATTAAAAAAGTTATATTGGAAGCAAAAGTTAGAGTTCTCTTGAGTCCAAGATTTAAAAACAGAAGTGCACTTATTCACCTATGATTTAGAGGAATAGTTCATAATCTTTTTGGAAAATGAACTTGTTTGAGAATCTGATGAAAGCAATGAAGCCCCTCATTTACCCATACATAAAATTTTACAGACCATTTTTTGGATTCATTGACCCAGTGAAAACCCAATTCATAAACCTCTCAGGAGTTTACAGACCCATGTTAAAAATACCTGGAAAGACTCTATTAACTCTTCAATTCAAAGCTAGGTAGCGAATTTATAAGTGTCCCCAAAGCAAAATTCTGCTTTTGCAATCTAGGAGCATAAAAATGATTTCCTCAAGCTTTTAGTTTCTTAACTAAAAATATCCCTTGGAAGTGTTTAAATGTTTTGGTAACCGATTTTTATCCCTGTTTGGCTAATAGAGTAAGTTCAAAGGTTCCTTTGGAAGCAATGACATCAGAGAAACTGTTATGATCATCATCGGGGCCCTTGTCAGGAAGCTGTGTCAGAACGAAGGCTGCAAACTCAAAGTAAGTGCAAATCCAGTCCAACGTTTCATGTGTGTAGTTCCAGACCATCTTATCTAGCGTTCACGGTGCTGCCCGCCACTGGTACAGTGCCGCTAGATGCCGTCCTAGTCCCCTTTACGCTCCTCTGCTTTGGCCGTTTGCACAGCGGTTATTGCCATCTAACATACTTTATAATTCAGTTATTTATGACATTTATTTTTTATTTCTGCCTCCTACCGAAGTCTAAGTTCTATACAGAAATAGGTTTTTGTTCCTTCAACACCAGTTGCTTAAAATGTTGTCTGGTATATATATAACGTTCAATAAATACTTCTTAAAAAGTGAACAGTCCATTAATCCCCCGTCGATCATCTTTATTGCATGCCTACTATGTACTCAGCTTTGAAAGATATGTATGACAGGGTTCTTGTTCTTAGAAAATATTAGATTACTTTCCAGAGCAGACGTTCATTGACAGCAAGTTTGGCTTGCAGCTTTGAGTTTTGGTGGTGGAAACTGACTTCTAGCTACTTCAGAACTTCTCATCTGAGTTTTAATTTCATTCGCTCAAATGTTCTCCACTTGCCCAAGTGACTATCAATTTTTATCTTTCTCATTAAAAAATAACTAAAGAAAACACTCACTTTATGGATGTAACTAAATATGGAAATTCCAAATGAATTCATATCCAATAAGCTCATCTTTCTATAATGCAACTAAAGATATTAAATGTATAAAAATATAGTCTTTTTCCTGTTCACATTTATTATATGGCCAGCTTTCGGTCAGCATTTTTCTTCTATCTCCAAAAGACATCACTGTTATTTTCTTTACTGTGTGCTTGCTATTAAAAAACGATACATACAACATCTTGAAACTAAACAGTTCCAAAAGAGGTAACTCACAACTAGAATGCAAACTAAGTCTAAAAAAGATCACCAAAAAAAAAACCAAAAAAAAAAAAACCCAACAGCATTGAAAATGTTTGAGTTTCAGCTTATTAAGTTCTGGCAGAAATCAAATTTGTATGGCTTTTATGACATCAGAGAAATATGACTTCTTATATTTTTCAATTTTCTATAATTATTTGAGGAGCTGGGTTGCTTCAGTAATAATATATCAGATATCTTGGTTAAACACAAAACTCACATATAAAAACATCCACTCCACAGTATTTAATGAGTGTTTGTGCTAGGCATGTCTCTAACCCCACAATATGAGGATACATATAATATTCTACCATCCTCAAAGAACTCCTAGTCTGTTTATAAATGCAGACAGATTAATAATGATATTGAAACATAAAAGGAGTGCTCTGAGATTACTGCAGATGTAACTATTCTGTTTTGGAGTGTTGGGGAAGTTTTCACAAAAGGATGATATTAAATAGCTTAGTCTAGGAGAACTTTTCAGGTGAAGAGACAGTTTTATGGAATAAAGGACATTCTAGGAGAAATAGGGTAACATATGTAAAGGCCCAAATGTATGGTTGGGAACAGTGAGAAATTCTGTGGGGCTAGAACATAAAATATATGTTTGTGGGGCAGACAGGTGGGAATGGGGATGCAGGGAAGAGAGCAAGAGAGAAGAGAGGTAGGCTGGATCTTTCCTCATGACAAGCTAAGGAGTCTGGCCTTCATTCTATAGAGAGAAGGGAGAATAATGAGGTTTTTAGGTGGTGAAGGACACACTGTGTTTTTTTTTATTTAAAAAGAAGCAAAATGGTATATGGACTGGGTGCCTGCTGCATTAGAACCAGTGAGATCAGTGAGATTGGATTGGAAATGTTTGCAACAATTTGGGCAAGAATTAGTAAAGGTCTGAATTAATGTAGGTGCAGTGAGGTGAGTGGAGGAGACAGATTCAGGAGCCATTTAGCAGGTAGAGTCAATAGTATGTAAGTGACTGATGGGATGTGGGGTCTCAGAGGTGAGAATCTAGGTGACTATAAGCTCCCAGGGTAGGATACTAGATGTATACTGATGCACTTAAGTAAAATTTTTTATAGAACCTGGTTTGGAGGTGGGAGGGAGTTAGAGCTATTAATTTGTTTTGGCCATGCTTGAATTCTTTGGGCCACCAGGTTGAGTTGTCCAACAGGCAGATGTCCACACCCATCTACAAGTCCAGAAAAGGAGTTAGGATCACGAATAGAGAGTGGCTGAAACCTTGGGAAGGATGGGATTACCCAAGGGAGGCATATAGCATGAGAAGCAAACAGAACAAAGGATTACTTTTAAAGTTCTTCTGATGTTGGGATGGTCTGGTTATCACATCTTTAAAGTTACCTTGCAGGTAGCTTTAAACTATCCACTATCACTGTCATTCACTTTTGTTAATGTTTTTGAGCAACCTTTTACAAAATGCATCTTTGAACATAATGAGACTTGACCACCAAATGGACCATAGTAAGTGTTCAAATTTTCTTTTCAACTTTCTGCTGTGGAATATTCTTCTATCTCTTTTGCATCTCAGAGGCATCTGGACAGAAAGAAAATAATGTATTCTAAACACAAATTTAAGTTATCTACTGGGCACACAATACTTATAACTATCCAAGTGGTACCTGCCATTCTATCAAGTGCTAGATCTTTTCAGCATTTACTTTCATGAAAGCTGTTACCTTATGACAGTTCAAATGGCAGCTAGACAAGATCACAATGAGTACTAAGCCCATATTTCTTTTTTCTATTTAGTTTTGCTTACATTTTGACCTCCCTGCATCCCAGTTCATTCTTTCCCCAAATTTATATTTGAAAAAATACAAACCTGTGGAAAAGTGGTAAGAATAGCACAATTCCTTGAATATTTGTATACCTACTTCATCTAGATTTGCCAACTGTTATCTTATTGCCATATTTGAATTATCTTATTCTGTTTTATTTTGTCTTAGTTTATTTTGGTTGAACCCTTTGAGAGTGAGTTGCAGACATCTGACATTTTACCCCTGAAGATTTTGACTTCTCATTACTTGAGTGTCATTGCACCTAGGCGCTTATGATGGGCAAAATACATTTTTATATTTACTAAATTGCGGGTTCATATTGCTACCTTTAATTCCAATCCATTACTACAAGGTTCTTTCTCTCCTTCCACCATCCAGTAATTATACCTTTCTTCTCCCACAGCGAGGACCCTGGTTTTTAAGAACATCAATATAATAAATTTATTTGCTCAGTCCTAAAACACACACAGAATAGTTTTGGAATTGCTACACCAATATCTACAAAAAATAAACTGACTTAAATAAAGATCAAGACTTCATCTCAGTTCTTTTTGTCATTAGAATATATTCCAATAAAGGTATACAGTCAGAGAACTATGTTCAAACATTGCTTGGATTAATTCTTTTGTAATTCTCTTCTGTTTTGTTATGTCTTCAATACATTTATATTCATTTGTTTCTGTTTAAATTCAATTTTAGCAATCTCTCATCCTTGTTGATTTCATTTTATTTCCTGAATATATAGAATATTAACACAATTCAAAAGTCAAAACTTTATTTTAAAAGTATTCTCAAAGAGATCTCATTCCTTTTCCTGCCCTCCCTCCCCCTCACTCTCACCTACTTTTTTATGTAAGCAGTATCATTAGTTTTGGGTTCTTCCTGTGGTTTTTTTTTTTTTGTCAACAGTAAGCAGATGTACACACACTCATTTCTTTTTTCTTGCATTAAAATATAGCTTTCTATATACACTCTCTTGTATCTCATTTTTTCCACTTAACGGTATACCCTGGAAATCACCCCACACTGGTTCACAGAGATCTTCCTCCTTTCTTTTACAACTGCGTGGTACTCCTTGTTTGTTAAACTGAGACCCCACAGTTTATTCAACATCTTCTATGTATAGTCACTAGGTGGTTTCCACTATCTTGCTATTACAAATACTGCTTAAATGAATAATCTTAGGTACATTTTCTTTTATTTTTGGAGTTGTAGCTTCAGGGCTAGTGTTGTTGGATCAAAATGCATATGTGTTAGCTTTTGCTGAATTTTCTTCCACGGAAATCATAACATTTTACACAATTCACTTACAATGTGTGAAAATGCCTACTTCCTCATAGCCTCAATAACAAAGTATGTTAACCAAACTTATGAATTTAAAAAATCAATCCGATAGTTGAGAAATGGCATTTCTCTGATTACATATGAAGTGTAGCATCTTTCATTCTAGTTAGGCGCCTTTTATATCTCCCCTCATCTCTCCCACTGCGTGTGTGTGTGTGTGTGTGTGTGTGTGTGTGTGTGTGTATAAGTACCTGCAGCCTGATTTCAGAGTTTATAAATCCTTTTGATGAATTAGGTCTTAGGAACCTTTATTTTGAAGATGATACTGAAGCCCCTAAAACATATGTAGTAGGAAATGTAAAATGAGAGCCTAGATGTCCTTATTTCTAATTTACTTTTCCATTAAGCTATTAACTTGTACTCAGTTCCTTTTTTTCTTCCCCTAGGCCAGAAAAAGAGCCCTTTTCTGATTAAAGAGCGTGTTTGAAAAGAACCAAACCAAGGTTGCTACATAAAAGGCATTAAAAAAGGCCTTTCAAGCAGCATGTTAGCATTAATGAAAGTTGGAATCAAGTGGAAACAAGCACTTTTTAAACATTTAGAACAAAACCTTACTGTCAAGTGCTAAGTGCTTTCACCAAAGTTGTTACTAAAGAAGTGTGTGCCACCACCTAGGCACCATCTAACCATTGCTTTAGAAATTACAACAAATGGGCTGTCTTAGGAATCATCAATCACAAGGGAATTTTAAAAACGATTTTCATACGTTCAGAATGTGTTCAAAAGTAAATATGTCTGTTATTACCCTCATTGCTTCTTAAGAATATGTTAATGTATGCATTTTTTAGAAAAACAACACCACCTTTGTCAAGCTTTCCTTGTTCATTTTCATCATGTACCTCAGTTAGGTGACCAGTGCAAAACTTTCTAATGTTTTCTTGGACCCAAGTGTAAAGCTGATCTTGCTCAAGCTTTGTTTAGTGTATGGTCATGCATATCTCTAACGGAGAATGTGATGTTTTAGGCAGTGGTAGAAGCCAAGAAGTTAATCTTGGGAGGACTTGAAAAAGCAGAGAAAAAGGAGGACACCATGATGTACCTGCTGGCTCTGAAGAATGCCCTGTTTCCAGAAGGCATCCCGCTGCTTCTGAAGTATGCGGAGGCAGGAGAAGGGCCCGTCAGCCACCTCGCTACCACCACTCTCCAGAGATATGGAGCCCCTTTCATAACTAATGAGGTAAATTCTCCAAGAATATTTGCAACATTCATGAAAGGAAACAAGCATGCCTAATCATGAGTCAAATGCAAGCTCCTCTGAAGTTACCCAATTTTTCCCCCCAAACCAACAATCTCTTTCCTATTTAGAAATAACCCTTAAATTGAATTTAAGTCTATTCTGAAGCAGCCTCCCACTTTTAATAGGTAATGTCTTATATCCCAAAGCATAAATATGGAAGCATATTCTCTTATTTTAAGAAACAATTTTTTCCAAAATATCTTTACTTCCATAAGTTTTAAGATGCCCTTAAATTTTTGACACTGGAATAACCTGGCTTAAGCATTATACCATGTTGGTCCCTAGAGCTGCATTTTCAGGAAGCATCCAAATTAAACATTTTTTAAGGTCAGAGAGTGTTTATAAACAGAAAAATAAATTGCCTGCTGAGAATTATGTTTCCAATTTGCAGCTAAATTTTGTGTCAAAGTTGATAGGCTGTGAAGTATGATAATTAGGATCATGGGTTTTTGAGACAGACAGACCTGCATATACATTCTAGCTCTGCTCTTTCCAGTTGTTTTTGCTTAGGTGAGTTTGTTTATTTTTTAAAAAAACTACTATATACCTGAGAAGAAGGTCAACATTTGGGGGAGACAGAAAAAGGCAGAAGCAAGTAGAATTGAAAGACATATTTATAAATGCCTACTACAGAGCTCCATATACAACATATTGTTAGGCAATGCTAGTAACCAATGAAATTGGTTATTGGCACAGAATGCAATTATTTTGGCAAATTTTCTTTGGTAATAATGTTTTGTCAGAAAAAAAGAGAAAGTCTGCTAATATAACCTATGGACTTTATGTGATAATGGTGTAACAATATAGGTTCATCAAATATAACAAATGTGCCAGTGTGGTGCAGGATGTTGATGGAGGGGGAGGTTGTGTGTGGGGGTGGAGATGGGGAGGAATGGAGAGCAGGAAGTATAGAGGAACTTTGTACTTTCAGCTCAGTTTTGTTGTAAACCTAAAATTGCTCTAAAAAGTATAGCTTATTAATTAAAAAAAGAAGGTAAGATTCTGATAAGGAAATAAAAATTTATACAGACATCTCTTCCCAGGGCCCCTTTGCCATGTGGCAGTTATGTCTTTAAAACTCTATATTAGGTAATACCATGATGTTCTTCAATAACAAACAAACCTCAAAATCTCAGCTTCTCATCCATGCTATGCCTAAGAAAGAGAGGGAGAAGGTATGCCAGCTCTCAACTACCTCTGCCCAGAAGTTACCCACAGAGATTCTGTTTGTGGTCCATGAGCCAGAACAATGACCCCAACCTAACTGCAAAGGAACGCAGGAAATATAGGAACACACATCTATTTTTTATGAACATTAACTATTCCTGTCACAATATCAGTTTAAAAAATCTAAATGTGCACTAACTAAGCTTGAACATCTTACAAACAGGTGAAGAAGACTTTGAACAGGATATACCATCAGAATCGTAAAGTTCACGAAAAGACTGTGCGCACAACTGCAGCTGCTGTCATTTTAAACAACAATCCATCCTACATGGAAGTAAAAAACATCCTGCTCTCTATTGGGGAGCTTCCCAAAGAAATGAATAAATACATGCTTTCTATTATCCAAGACATCCTACGTTTTGAAATGCCTGCCAGGTAGGAAACAGTGCCCCAGTCTCTGCTTGTCCCAGCTTATTTGTATGTTAGTGTGGTGCACATGTGGTTGATAAAAATGGTGTGGTCTTTCTTCTGGGTTCTGTTGCATTAAACCGGAGTTTGCCAAATTTCCCATAAGAGAACTGTTTGGTGGGCCAGATTTTACAACTTCACTTTGGCACTATGATTTGAAACTCTGGGTATGATTTTTCCTCTAGGTTTCCCATTCGATCTGGTAATATTGTATTACCAAATGTTAGCAATGTTTTAAAATCCAACTATATTTTCAATAGGACTATTTTTATAACTAGCATAATAAGATGAGGTAAGTTCTCACCAAATGGCCTTTCATCTTAACTTTCCAAATGTTAGGGATCTTTGATGCTTCATTTATGACAGATCAAATGAATTTACCATGTGAGTTTAAAACCTTAGATGTGACCCACATTTTAGAACTATTGAAAATATGAAGAGTGTGATCAGCCGACTTCACTGCTCTCAGTTACTCTTGCTGTATTCATCTTCCTTCCAGTTACCAAGTCTCTCCTCTCAAATTCACTGAGGTGAATTTTTTTCACTAAAATCAGAGAGCTGGAGGAGGAATTTCTATTTCCCCTGAGTTACACGCAGAGCACTACCTTCAGGAAAGATCAAATTTGAGTGTTCCCAGTTGAAAAGGAAAACAGACATGGGGGAGGGTGGAAAATGGATAAAGAGAAAGGAAATGGGGGAAAAAGGCAGTAAAAGAATGAGGGAAAGAGAAGCAAGGAATAAGACTGAAAGATAAAGAAACAGGAGGAGTAAGTAGACGAGAGAAAAGAGCAGGGCAAAGAAGGAAGGAGGGTCAGATAAGTGATGGAGACAAAAAGCAAAATCTCTTTCCAGCCATGGGTTCCTAGCTCAGTGGATTCGACTTATTCTATTGCTTTGTTTGGTTTTATGAGACTCAGTGGAGGAGATTCTGGATGTATTTGCTTCCCTTGTCTTGGGAACCTAGTGATTCAGGGGACAGTAAAGGGGAAGCAATGGAGTCGAGAGCAACCAGGGAAAGATGAGGAAGCCATCGCCAGCACGGCAGTCAGATCCTCAGAACTGCAAATGTCCGAGTTGGAAAGGACGTCAAGGTCCCCCTTGCTTGGTATCACTCTCCAGTGCGGGGGTCTTGTCTCCCGGCAGGTGGTGTCCAGATTTCAGTTGCACCGCTCCAGTGGGCAGAGGTTCACCACCTCTGAGGGAACCTGTGTCATCCATCAGAGACTCTCACCAGTCCTTACTTTGCATAACTGAAATCTTCCTCCTGGCCCTGGTTTTACCCCTGGAGTGAAGCAGCACAGATCTAATCATCCGTCCACATCCCGACCCTTTGAATATTAGCGGACAGCTCTTCATCTTTTCCTCTCCAGGCTAGAATCCTATAACTGAGCGATACTTGGGGGAAAACCCTATATCCATTCCTTCCTCTTGATAAGGTTCTAACTCAGATCTAGACCTATATTTCTTTAGTTGATTATTTTAATGGTTTTTTTTTTGCTGTGTTGTTATAATTTTCTTGTTACTGATATGATTAGTGTTAAGTAGTCACAAATAGGAAGATCTCAGCACTAATTAGACAGGTAGACAAAATAGAGGCACAGGGTAAGTTTTAAGACTTACTATAGAGGAGACAATTGGATTTTACTGAGATATTTCTTCAATTAAAAACTACAGGGGGCAGGGTATAGCTCAGTGGTAGAGTGCATGCCTAGCATGCACGAGTTCCTGGGTTCAATCCCCAGCACCTTCATTAAAAAAATAAATAAATAAACCTAATTACCCTCCCCCCCCAAAAAAGAAGAAATTTATGGGAGTTTACTATTAATATCATTAGCCAGTGATAACATGAGAAGGTATAGGAAAACACTTAAAGAAATATTGGGTAACCTCTCCAGTTTGGTACAACTTGCCTTAAAAGTATGTACTATTTAACAACAGAACCACGATGATCAAAGAGCACGTGTTTTCCACTCCTGAGGTGTGTCCATCCGTCAGCTTAAGCCATCTCATAGTTGGGTGTTCTCGCCTTGCTGTCATTGTGATACCAAACTGAATAATCCGAGGAATGAAGGGGAAAGCCCTCGTCCTGGTGCTGGCACTCCAGCTGGCACCTCCCCAGTCTCGGAGCGGCACGAGGAAAATTTGGCCCCCTCTTTTTTCCACGGAGGATTTGGGTCCTTTCCACATCTGACTTGGGAAACAGCCATTACAATGAATGTGCAGCTTTTTTCTCTTATGTGTTACAGCAAAATGGTCCGTCGAGTTCTGAAGGAAATGATTGCTCATAATTATGACCGTTTCGCCAAGACTGGATCCTCTTCTGCCTATACTGGCTACATAGAACGTACGTACCCCAGAAAGGGGTCCTCCCTTCCTGCCCGTCCCCAGCCGGGTATTGCTGGAACCGCGGTTAAATTACAGGGTTTTTTTTGTGTGTGTGTCATTAGGTAGTCCCCACTCGGCATCTACCTATAGCCTGGACATTCTTTACTCTGGTTCTGGCATTCTAAGGAGAAGTAACCTCAACATCTTTCAGTATCTTGGGGAAGCTGCTCTTCATGGGAGCCAGGTAACTCGTTTTCCATTAACTTTGCTTAATAAAGGATGTAAGGAGTTTGTGTGAAGTAAAATAAAATATATTCTAATGATAACACTATAGAATGCATAATTAATATCTCTGTTGTGTCATGCATGAGTCCACCTGTAAGAGGCTGTATGGTTACTGGTCCCAGAAAGAGTTTAAAATATGAACTTGAAAACCTATGTATTTTGAGTCACTGGACTTGCCAAGCACCCATAACCTTCTTTTCAAAGGTATACATATCCCCAAAATTGAAATCATGCTAATATTTCTCACATATGTTTTAAAAAATTATTTTGTTTTTAATTCATAGATATATTCCTTGAAGCTCCAGATATTTAATTTTAGAATATCTTTCCTTCTCTGGGTATTTCTATGAGAAGATTGATTCTCTACAATAAAAGCTTTCATAATAGAATACGGCTCTCTAAAGATCAATCTATGTCTTTCTAATACTGCTAGGAGAGACGAGAATAAACTGTAGGCATCTGGCAACTGACTAAGTGCCATCCCCTTAGTTTTATCCCAAATTTGGTGACAATCTATAAAGGCTTCCTCATTGTGAAATATACTTTCATTTTAGTTCTTATGCATATCAAATTATAATCTTCTAAATAAACTTTAAAAATGATCCAGTGCTATATAAACTTGGGTTCTTATCAATATTGAGTTACCACACCTTCGATAGGACTCTAGTCAGGATGCTGCGCCTTCTGTCCTGAGGCATCACCATCTGTTTTCTGACATGTGCTCTGAAATGCGAAGCTCCCAGTGGCTAAGGCACTGGGTATGAAGGACAGGGGATACGTAGGATTCCTCTGTGGCAGAGATCAGGATGAGAGCCTCTTCATGGGGTTCTTTTCTTTTCTTTTACTACAGAAAGTTTTATGTGGACAGGTGTGAGGCACGGCTTAGAGAGTTCATAGCATCTGTCGTGCAGACTTAGGCTGGCTGTCTAACACCTCTCCATCTGCTTTCAGGGGCTCTGCAGGATAGCTGATCCACTATGCATGACAGTTCTGGAGACTAAGAAGAGTCTCTAGGGTGACACTATAAAATGGAAAGCTCATGGCCTTGTAGTCAGAAGGGGGTTAAGTCCTGCCTCTGCCGTTTGAGGTTTTCTTTCCAGCCTCATCTACAAAATAGATAAAATTATATGTACCTCAAGGGATGACTGTGAGGATTAAATGAGGAAAACTAACTCAGCTTGTTTCAGGCATAGAGTAGTTCGGGTTTGCCTAGCAGCTGCAGGCATTTGAGTTTTTGATCCTAGGGGAGTTCTAGCTGTAGTCATCATCACTTGCAGAAGAGGCAGGGAGCTAATGTCATGGATGTTGTGCCCATTCCCCGCCAGGTGGTCATTGAAGCCCAAGGACTGGAGGCCTTAATTGCAGCCACTCCCGACGAAGGGGAGGAGAACCTTGACTCCTATGCCGGGATGTCAGCCATCCTCTTTGATGTTCAGCTCAGACCTGTCACTTTTTTCAGTGGATACAGTGACTTGATGTCCAAAATGCTGTCAGCATCTGGCGACCCTGTTAGTGTGGTGAAAGGACTCATTCTACTGATAGATCATTCTCAGGTAATTTATTCACTCTGCAAGTATTTATTGACTGTATCACAGGCAGATTTTAAATGTGCTCTAGGCTCTTGGAGGACACAAGACAAAGTTCCACCCATCTTGGAGCTCACACTCTAAGCATTCTGCTCTCTTGGTATTGTGCCCTTTCTCCTTTTCTCCTTTGCTATAAGTAAATGGGGTTTCCTTTGGCCTTTGTTAGCGGGTGAAGACATCTCACTGTTGAGGCAAAAGAGGACGTACTCAATTTAATATGAATATAATATAATATCAGTTATATCTCAATAAAGCCAAAAAGGGAGAGAGAGGGAAAAAAACTGGTGCTAATAGAAACAAGAAGTTATGGAAAAATAACCTAGGATTTGACAGAGAAGAGATGGTATTACCTCTCCACTTGAATTTCCTAGATATGTGGACTTAGATGACATTTTTTTCTGAAGACAGGAGCTGAACTACATGGCTTCATAAGTTACTGATGATATTTATCATGACATCGATGATAAGAATCCAAATAATGCATTGTTTTGACCCTGCCAAATCAGTGGAGGCATAGGCAACCGCTTACACCAAGCACGTGTTTAATGGAGACTCTTTGCTCTAAATTCTCATGTTTGCAAAGATTCATTCATTATTGGAGAAAAAGAGAACTTTCATTCACTTGAACTGCATTCTTCAGAATAGTTTTCAATTTTCTTCGCCCCCAAATCTTACATTACTATACTAAGGTATGACCATACCATCTTCCGTGCAGTAAGAGATTTAGGTGACCAAGTTACTGTGGGATGGGCGTGGTCTGCCTCTTTGAATTTCTGAGAAACAGAAGAGGGTTAATCTGAATAACCTTTGAGTTTGAATGTTTGATGCTTAAACTTTTTTGGTTTAACTTATTTCCTGCCTCACTAAGCACAGCAATATAAAAAACAGAATATTTGCCGAATAAGGAGCTTATGTGAAATCCTTGAAGTGGTCACTGGGCACACTCATTCATAATTGTGATACTGAATATATATGAAGAGATTAGATTAAAATTTATAGGCTATAGAACTTGCTTGGGAAGTTTGCTTTTGTGGCTTAATACATTTACAAGTAATAACTTGGGTTTGAATTTTGCCTCCGCTAGTTACTGTCTGTGTGCTCTTGAGCAGTTACTTAATAGCTTTAAACTAAGATTTCCTACTGATAAAGTGAGGCATTTGGAACAGATGATCCAAAGTTTTTATCAGCTTTATTCTTTGCCAGGTAATATGAGGATTTTGATTTGTTGGGTTCTAGTTATGAAATCATAGCTTTTAAGATCTGGGAGAGACCTTAAGTAACAGATATTACTAAAACTCCCTTGAAACATCATTGATGGGAACAAAATATTAATTCCCTATCTTTATTGTTCCTCATCACAGGTCAGGATAGCTGTCTAGAACAAAAATAACCAAGTTTGGGTAGCTTAACCAGATGGTTTGATTTTTATCATGTAACAAATATTTGGAAGTTGCTACTTCAGGGTTGATATGAGCACCCTAAGATACTATCAGGATCTAGACTCTTTTTCCTCAGCTCAGCCATCTTTACTCATGGCTTTAACCTTGTGCTTGTCACCTCATGATTATCAGATGGCTGCTGCATTCCAGCACTGCTTCCTCATTCCAGGAAGGAAGAGGGAAGGGTAGGGGCAGCAGAGTCTGATTCTTTCAAGAACTTTCCTGGAAGCCCTATCTATTCCTATAAAAGATAAACATCTGCCAAAGGAAGCCCTTTTGTTAATAATGAAGCTGTGTCATATGGACACCCATAGCTTCAAGAGAAGCTGGTAAATATAGTTTCTCAATGATTATATTGACATTCCAAACAAAGCTGTGATTCTGTCAATATGAGTTAAAAGAAGGGCAACCAGCAATGCCTTTCATACGTCCTTAATCCTCAAGTTCACACAGGAAAATTTGTTCTCAAATTATATTGGAATTTTACACTGCACATTTCCATTGCGGTATTACCTCTGGGGAAATGCATTCTTAATGAAAGAATCTCTAAAGAAGGCATAAGAGTGCTGAGAAAATAGCCCACATTTTAAGATGTAGGAATAACAGTTTAGCACCCATCTATGTGTACTCATCTTTTGATCAAACCTACCCATCGCCAATGCCCAGTAGTTTGAGCCAGGGTATAAAACTTGATGCGAACGTAAGTAGTAATCTAGGTTAGGGTTGGCGAACTCTTTGTGTAAAAGACAGAAAGTACATATTTTAGGTTCTGTGGGACACATGGTCTCTGGGACAATTACTCAGCTCTGCCATTGTAGAGTAAAATTAGCCATTAGTGAGATAGTAACAAATGAGTGTGGCAGTGTTCCAATAAAATTTTATTTACAAAAACAACCAGTGGGCCAGAGTTGTCTGCAAGCTGTAGTTTGCCAACCCCTGATTTGGATTATCTTGTAAGGTTTTTTTATTCGTTAAGCTAGGGCACCAAAGGCATATTCAGAGAGAAACATCTTCCCTTAGCTGTTAAACATAACCCAATGTCTGTATTTCAGATTGGAGGGTTTGGCAGACCTGGGTGTATTATACAAACAAGCTGTTTGAGGCTCCCTGGCTCTGCAGAGCACTCCAGTAATGCCATCCCAGCTTCAGAGGCACATACCACTCTAGGTCAAGTGCTGACATTGGAGGAAATGTTGGCAGTGGGTGGCTTGTCACAACTGCCAGGGCAGATGGAATTACTCTGTGCTCACTCTCTCTCTCCCTTTTCAGCTAACTGGATTACTCTTCAGAGAAGGATGTCTGATAAAGCCAGATTAATAGGGAAAGCCTCTTTAGCCAGCAAAGAACTTTTTTTTTTTTTCCTGAATGGAAGCAATAGGATGAGTTGTCAAAATATCAGTGTCTGAGCTGAAAGAAACACCTTTGGGACCAAAAGTAAAAGATCAAAGGGGTCACATTAGCTACAAAACAAAGCTCCAGTGTCTTGTTCCTCTGGTTCATAGACAAGAATTTAAATAAATATACACTCTGGGTCACAAGGACATAAGCCTGGGTTCTATCTTTTCTTGCAGTATTTCTCAGAACAGGCCTCCTTGCACACTAGGAAACAAAATAGTTAAGATTTTGTGATAGCTGTGTATAGTAGTAGAAAATTCTCCCCACTAGAGACAGGCTGGGTGTTCCTTTCAGCTCCAAATGTAGAGTCTCCGAGCCTGATTTTTCTATTCAGTCTGTCAGTCTTTAGATATAATGCCTGCCAGGGAAGGTTAGTATGGGAATTAAATGAGATAGCAAATGTAGAGCTTTGGGGGCACAATAGGTGCTCAAAAACTGTTAGTTCCACTTATTTTAGACCCCTCAAAAATTAGAACCACTGCAGTATGTGGTTTAGTCCCTTTCACTAAAAAAAGAGTGGTTTGTCCTTCTACAGAGGTCCGTGGTCTGTCCTCTTACGGGGGTCCAAACAGATTCCTCTGTGACTATACATAAGAATTCTTCCATGATTCCTTTGCATGGGAGACGTGTAATTGTCCCAGAAAGCCAAGGCACTCCTCAGTGCAGTGGAAATGCTCTCTCCCCACAAAAGGCTCATTGTCTTAATAGTAGTGAAATATTCTTTCCTATGGCACTTGGTGTGTTTTGACATCCCCATAACATATGGTCAATGGGAAGGCCAAAGTCTGTATCACAGACCTCTGCTGGGTTGGGTGGACTAACAAGATTATCATTTTCAAATTGGGAACAGAGAATAGGATCCAAGGGAAGAAATACCTCTGAGGCAGGGCACACAGTAGGGCTCATTTGGAAACAATCACAGTTACAGTACAAATGCAGAACTCTGATACCGTGGTTCTGCAGTTCATAGGCATAAGTTAAAATCTGGCCGCGATTAATGTGGTTTTCTCAGAATACTCTGTGTTCCTTTATGTTACTTTGATGCCTGAAGCAATATCTGCATCCCACCACAAACACATTTTGTTCTAGACTGAATGTAGCAGTAAGTATCCTTAGGGCTCACTCCCAACGTGTCCCAAGCTCTGCTTCAAGAACCTCATGCTTTCATCCAGGTGTCTTTCAGACCGAATGTAGCTTTGTGCCACATCAGACCTTTTTTAATAAACCAAATTCTATGATAAAGATTTCCCGACACAGTTTTTGGGAAGTGGAGAGAATTCAGGGAGATTAAAGATGAACATAATCCTTTCTAGAAAGTGAAATCACAGCATTTTTAGCTAGTGAAAGCGGTGGCTTGCTTGATCTGAGCAGGGCAGTTACATAAAGAAATTAGTCATGCTGCCAGTTGCCATGAACCTAAGATCTTTGGGGGAATATCAAAATTAAGGGTACTGAGCCTTTTTCCCAGAACTGTTGTCGTTTCCAACACTGTCCCTAGGCAATCTGATTCCAATGCCGCTGAAGTTTTCAGCCAACTTCGCCCCATCTAATCCATGTAAAAATGGCAAGACTTACAGGGTAAATGCTAGCAAACAGCATAAAACAATGGATTTCAGACCAAAATTGCTGAGGATGGACTATGTTTGTAAATATGTACAGTCGAGTTCATGTTGGTCTTGCTTGTCATTTTAATGTCATTCCAAGTGGCAAACAATAAGGCATTAAGGCTTAGTTAAGTTGCCTGCCTTACTTTCCTAGCTTTCCTTTTCTAGGCAGTTCCTGGAACTTGTGTCCCGCCCTGGCAGTTTTTATCCTGCCTTTCATTTGCCAGCAGGCTGCAGTTGACTATATTTGACATGACACATACCTAGAGAAGTGCTAAAGGACTTTGAGAGCTCATCCAGCCCAACCCTTCATCTCATCCCAAAGCCACAGCTGGATTCCTGATGGAGAAGCCTGCATTCTCCCTAGTCTGACAGTTCTCAAATTTAGGTGCATCAGAGTCACATGAAAGCTTATTAAAACACAGATTGCTGGGACTCACCCTCAGAGTTTCTAATTTAGTACGCATGGGGCATGTATTTCTCACAAGTTCCCTGGATGCTCATGGTATTCGTCAGGGAACCACACTGTGAGAACCATTGTCCCTCCCAAAGTGAGGCAAAGATTGAAAGAAAGCACCCTTCTCAATTGACACTTCACTTCTTTGGTATTTTGATTGACTTAGATACTTTAATAAATCAATGATCTACTTCTGGTGATCAAGATTAGAATGTGTTTCCGAACCTAGAGAAAGACATCAACATTAGCACAACTCACATGCTACTACCTACAGCAAGAGGTTGAACGTGCCTCTGGAAAGGGGCTGGCTACATTGTGCTTCTCCTCCTCCTCCTTTTCCTTCTAACTATTATATATTTTTGTTTCCAGGAGCTTCAGTTGCAGTCTGGACTTAAAGCCAATATAGAGGTCCAGGGTGGTCTAGCCATTGATATTTCAGGTTCAATGGAGTTTAGTCTGTGGTATCGTGAGTCTAAAACACGTGTGAAAAATCGGTAAGCATATGTATAATACTTTATGAAAAGAACAGCAGAGATATGTTTTTGGAATTGTTTAACCTTCTGACTTCTCAAAATCCATGCTTTCTATTTATAATCATTAATCACAGAGTAGAAAGTAACCATGGGAAGTCATTCTTTCCTAGCTTCTTACGAGCAGGTTGGTACCTACTACATCTCAGCCAAGGATCTTCTTGCTTTTAAAGACATCCGTGGACAGCATGCCCAGGGGATGAGAAGGTCATCTTCTCTTGTTTTCCACTTTAGTAGTTGACAACGCTGTCTGAAAAGTTTACTTTTAAGCAAATTGTTTTAGCATATCCCTCTTGCTGGGATTTTAAATCTTTCTTATTTTGCTGTCTTCAGGGGAGAAAAATAAAAAGATAGTCACTTTTGTGCCGAATCTAAATCTTAAACATTGAGTCCGTAAGTGTTTTTATTAGTGTTCATTTTTCTAAACAAAATTTTCTCAGCTCCTTTAGTTTTTCTCATTGACCCATTAGATCAAGTGAAAGCATTTGATATTGAACTTAATGTCTTTGAATCAGCATGATAACCAAAAGAATTATTCTTCTGTTTGTTATAGTATTGATGAAAAGAAAATAGAAAGGCAATTGATTTTTACCTTTTTGGATATTTAATAATATTGTGGGACAGAACTGAGATAGGAGTGCTAACACTAGATTTTTAATTTATTTTGAACAATGGATGAAAGAATTGAGAACAATCAAAAGGTGGGACATTTAACAC